ACCCTTTTTACATATTTTACAACTTGTTAAAACCATTTTACGACATTGGCGTTTTGTTGGGTAACTCACGGCGGGCAAACTATTTTACGTTATTTACAACCCTTGGATTGTCTTTTTTACAACATCATGATCCACAGAGGCGCACGCGCGGTTTAAAGCGGTCTTTTTATAAAGCGGTTTTAAAGCGTATTAGAACACAAACCGGCGATACCCCACACCACATTTCTCTCGTTTATATATACCACCAAGCATACAAGGGCTTTTTTTCAGGGATGCCTACCGGCGGGCATGGGTGGCTGACAGGCAGGAAGGCAGGAAAGCAGGAAGGAAAGGCAAGGGAAGGCGGGAGGGCAGGGCAGGGAAAAGAAAAAGGAAGACAAGACGGAGAAGTAAGACTACTACTCGGTCGTTTTAATAATTCGTTGGGAGCGGACATGGGAAATGGACAAATAAGTAATATCCAAGCTTAATGGTATAGCTAAGATGTATTATGAAGGGAGTGAGTCGGCTCAGAGATGGATGGACATAATACCAGCTGTGGAAATGTGGATGTGGATGCGGATGAGGGATGGATGACAAACGATGAGAAGAAAGAAAGAACCAAGTTTATTTAATGATGTAGCCTCAACTTCTCTTTGTGGGTTTGTCGTCAACTGGGATGAAGAGAGAGAGAGAGGGGTTGTTGGATAATGTTCATGTTCATGATTGGAGTAACATTAATGGTCAGTCAGTCAGCAGAGCTGCAGGGTTTGGATATGAAACCTTGATGATGGCATTCTTCTTTAAGAGTATCTAGAGAGTCTAGAGAGGGACTAAACAATCCCAGAGAGGCAGAGGAGGAAATAATGATACTTGATACCAACCTTCACACCAAACTTTTGCCCGCCCGCTTCTTTCCTGGCTCCTTGTGTGTATGTTTTCTCTCCTGTAATGTACTCTTGCTGTTACCGACCGACCACCTACCTCTTTGCTCTTCGTTTGTCACATCATAATTCTCAACGTTCTCAATTTAGTGTCTGCCAAGTGACCCAGCAGCCTTAGATATGGAGTCCGGACAGAAAGAATGACGTCTTGATCAACAGACAGACAGACAAAAAAAAAGGGGGAGGGGGGCCCGGCTCGCCCGGCTCGCCTGGCTACCGGTAGCAGATGACGATCAACCGATCAACCGATCAACGATCAACGACGATCAAAAGCAAGAGAAGAAGGAGAACGTTCTTCTTCTTCTTCTTCTTCTTCTTCTTCTTCTTCTTCTTCTTCTTCTTCTTCTTCTTCACGTGTACATTATACTACACTACACTACACTACGTAGCTCGGAGCTTCGGGAGTCACGGAGGCTAGGAGTAGGGATCGATCCATTCTGAAAATGACCCATTTTTTCTGAAATTTCTGGGACCGTGCACGAGTCCGTGCCCCTATACTCTTCCCCCTTCAACACACCTATCTTTACACCTTTTCAACTATCGACAACCTTCTTGGTATCGCGACAATGCTACTAGTTCGTAGCCCTCGAAACGAGGCTGTATTTAGGGAGTTTAATATTGTAAATATACCATTATTATAATTGGCGTAATACTGCTAATGTTATTCGAATGCGTGGTTATTTTGATAGTTACGCGGGGTATTAGATCGTTCGTATTAATTAGCAATTTAAAGAACGTAAGGATATACAATATTACGTTGTTGCCCTTAATGGTGCTTAAAAGGATAAGATCGATTAATATACAGTTGAAGCCCTCCTTTTCGACAGCCGCTTATTTACTATATTCGAGTCGTTTCCTATAAGGGTATTCCTCTATACTTTAGTGCTAGTATATACCCCTCCTAACGCGGCCAAGTTAGTTAATTATTAGCTTCTTTTTATTTATATTAGAATAAAACGGTAAATTATTGAATAGTATATTGTTGATTATATGTATATTAACGTTTTTTTCGACGAGTTAAACGACTATATTGGCCGGCGTATTCTTAATATCTCTTTTTCCCCTCTAGAGGGATAATCCTAATTTTGATATAATAGAAATACTAGTTTAATAGAATATATAGTAGTAAACTTCGCTGGTATCGTTTATAACGTTTATAATAAAATGGTTGCTAAATTAATTAAAATTAATTCTTTTATCATTAATATTTATAATAGTACCCGATATACGATTTAAAAGCTATTTAACGACTGCTTTAAATTTAATTTTGCTATTTTATACGATTTTTACTCCCTTTAATTATTAATAAAGAATTTATTTAATTTACTACTATTTAAATTGCTAGTTTAATAAATTACTATTATTGTTAATTATTTCTACGCTTTTAAATTATAATTTTTGCAGTTACGCGCGTTAATAAGTATATATTATAATAAAGTCGTATTGCTTTTAGCGAAGTAAATTACTTTTTAAATATTTTATTTATACTATTAATTAATTAAATTAGTATAATTACTTATTAGGGGTTATAGTATAAATTCGTTATTTCGATTAAATGTGTATAAGTTATTCTATAAGCCTTTGTAAAGGATGCCCGCTTCTTTAGTTAGTATTAAAAAATACCCTACGTTGTTGCTATTGTTAGTGATAACGAGGCCGGCGTTAACCCTATACGATTTATATAGGTAATAAATATTATTGAAAACGTATACTTCTAGTATATTTTCGATGTTTTTAAATACTTTTTAGTATTATTTTATAAGGTATAATTAATATTAGAAGCGGATAAAGCGTACGTCAGTTACGTTATTTTACGTTGGGTTAAGGTTTAGGAAGAGTAATTATGTTTATATTACTCCTTCGCTGCTACGGATTAGTAGGAATTAGAGTACTTCTACGTATTAAGGAGGATTAAATAGTTAATTCTTATTAATTAGTTAGGTTTCTTTTTATATTTATTTACTATAGTAGTGAAATTCGAAGCTATTCGACCCTTTATTTAGAATATTACCAGCGTACCGTTAATTTTCTTAAGGGAATATATTTATATATTTAATAATGTAATAAATGAGTAAATTATCGCCGACTTTTTTACTTTTAGAAGGCGTAAGGGTATCTACAGTCCGGACGGTAATTTTTAGAATTATAATAATTTCGATCCTAAATTATAGTAAATTATAATATAAGATAACCGCTCTCTTATTGTACTGCTAGTTATATGGATATTTAGTACCCTAATTAATAGTGTACTTTATAAGCGAACCTTCTTTACTATAAACTTTTTGGAAAGTCCTCATCGTAACCGATTTATTAGCGAAAAAATAGATATAATTATATTCGTTTATATAAACGGCCGTAAGTTTAGAAATTTAAACTAGTCTTTTATTATATTATTTCTTATATAAAGGGACGAATTACTATTATAAATCGAAGAGTAATTATATAATTATATGTATGAAGGTGATTAAATTCAATACAATAAAGCGGAGTAAGTAGGAGGAGGGCATTGCTAATTAAAATAGTTATCAAATTTATAAATTTGCATTTATGTACGTAAAAATCGATTTTTAGTAAAAAGTAGTAAAAATGACGACTTTCTAGCAATTTATTTCGATTCTAGGTGGCCATTTGAGACTCCAAAACCCCCAGATTTATCTATATTTTAGTTACGTGTGCTGAAAATATGGAAAAAATGTTCATTTTTGCATGAAATTTCCAGAAATTTCTGAAATTTTCTACATTCAGAAATTTTCTACATTCAGAGATTTCAGATCAATTCCTAGGCCGCCTAGGAGGCTAGGAGGCAATAAAGATCACCACCTATCTGAGTTCCATCTTATCAGATTTTTTAAAATAAAAAAACGAGATGAACTAACTAACAGCTAAACTGTAAGGAAGGGATGGACATATGTATGTATGATGGAGGATAGGCAGCAATATATTATCACTGACCGTTGAGACGGGAGTCTGGAGAGTCAGATGGTCTAGCTAGCACCTCTAGGTAAGCGTGCGAGTTGGCCGGGCGTGGACCTTTCTGTGTGAGTGCCTTCTCCAGTTTTTTTTCTCGGTATACATAATCTTTCTGCCATTTCGTTATATATAAATAGAAAAGTCGAAGGGATAGATGATGACTAGCACTCGAGTGCCTGCTTTTGGAGCTTCTACCGATTTTCCCTTCCCCTTGGCCTCCAATGTTTTAAGTAGACGTGTGGCCTTCGCCGATGTATGCGAAAGGAAGTTGGAGTTCTTTTTCTGGACCCCAAGTTGTTTCTCTCTGTCCCTTTTCTCATTCGTTAGGCGATCAATCTCTTCCATATCTAGGTAAGGATAAGTTGAACAAGTCACGGTCCCAAAACATCACACCTTTGGGCATACTTCTTGCACGCCTCCATGCGTCTGTCTTTCTTACATCGGTTTGGTATAAATTCCAAACATTTCCTAGTTTAAAGGATCCATAATAGACGGACTCTAAGGCGGTGTATTGCCAAGTTATTACGATAGATATCACCATTTTGTCACGACCTTCACTGACCAAAGCGAGCCAGTCGTGTTGGACTGTCCATGTTCGGTTTATTTTACGGCCATTCGTGTAGTTACGATAGAACGCTACAAAGACATCAACACTACCTAATCCATACACTACAACACCAACCACGCCAGGCCAGGCCAGGACCAAGTGGGTAACAACATAGCTAAGGTAATTAACATGAATAAACTCACAACCACACCGAAAGGTCCTCCGTCCTCCTCACTCCTCATCGCATAACACCTTCAAACTGTTTTTTTTTTCTTCATCTGATTCTGAAACCTTCGATATCTCAACGTTCGTGCATCTGCCTCGCTGACAAACTCCTCATGATCCATATCGGCAAAAGAGACAGCTTTAGGCATCCGCAACACTGAGTTTGTTTTGTTTCTCCTCTCACGTGCGGACGAGAGTTCAGCATCTTGAAACACCCCTGGGAAAAGTGAAGGAGGACCCAAAAGCTGCGCACTAGGCAATGTCCCGGGCGTGCGCGGGCGAGGAAAACGTTCGAAGTTATGCGCCCGTTCCTCCATTTCCTTCAAGGTAGCTATCTAAGCATTCTGAGCATCCAAGTCCATCCTATCCACCGTCTCAGCGTGCACCGTCGTGGGCTCGTCAGAGCTAATCGGAGGTCCCACGAACTGACGACGTGGGATGCTCACGAGGTCCTTGACGTTTTCTGACCGCACGTAGGCCACGTAGTATGGCTCGCCCCTGGTGTTGAGCTGTTCAAACACCTCCTCAGCCGGATGGACAGACACCGTGGTGTCGTTGTACTTGCGCCAGACGTTCTCTTCAAAGTCGTAAATCCAGACCCAGTAGTGGCCGGCGGCGGCCGTGGTTCCGGCATGGCAGACGACTGCGTGAAGCCGGTATACATACTGCTGCATGCCATCAAACAACTTCTCGCGTTCGGCCAGCAGCTGCCCCTTTTCCCAGGCTGCTTCAGCCTCAATGCTCGTGATCAAGGTATGAATCTCACTTGGACTGAGATCGCCAAGCTCTTCCTGATCAGGATTCGGCGCTTCAGGTTTGATGTCTGGCTGAGACGACTCAGGCCTGGGCAGGCTAGTATACTTTCCGACAGTGGTGTCGAGCTCGGGCGTCAAGAATGATGTGACATCGTATCCTTCGAGCTCCTCAATGTCCTGATCACTTACGTGAATGAAGGAATCTAGAAGGCTGTCGGAACTTCTCTCATTACGCGTTACGAAGGGAATTGGGGCAACAGACTCATTCTCCTTGATCTTGTTGTCACGAGACATGAGCTCTTGGAGCCTGTTTCCAATGTTCCAGCTTCTTTGACGGGCCTTGAATAGTGGCGAATCGAGCTGGTCGGTGTGCATAAAGCGATCGAGGTATAAGAGCTCGGGTATGATGACAGGATTGGCGTTTTTGTTACGGCCATCCGACCTCGAAATGCAGATGTGGAAGTTGGGAGCCGGGTCCTTGATGGTCGTATAGGTTAGAAGCTCTGCACCCACGCTTTCCAGATCGAATGATCTGGACAAAGCATCGTACAAGCTTATCCGCTCATTCTTTCCGGGATAGGCAATCACCCAACGTTCAGATCTTGTAGAGCTGTTCCAAGTACTTTCACTAGCCTTCTTCCGGTTGTCGACAAGCGTCGAGAAAAAGGCTTCCTTGATCGGGTCTGGCCCTGGTGTATTCGGATTCCTAAGCGATTTAACCTTGAAAGCTGCCCGGAGATGGTCTATTGCGTTGCCCATGACTTCGTCGACGTCCATCTGGTCGGAACCAACGTTAGGCTTGTCAAGCTCTTCGTTAAGTTCTACAACCGTTAGTTTCAGGTCCCTGGGCCTGTCGTTTCCAGTCTTGGCGGAAGCAGCAACAGGGGTAGACGGAGCAGGTTCATCAGTCATGGTAATATCGTCGCCTGTGCCTTCACCTTTACCGGCATTGCAGTCGACAACAATGAATGTCGGGTCGTCTTCAGTCTGGTTGACCAAAGTCTGTGAGCTCAGGTTGCTATCCGTCTCCGAGTGCTCTGGTACCGCGTCAACCGTAACCTTGGGTAGGTCGCCCGCGCCTGATCTGGGAGGCAGTGGAGGAGCCTCCACCGAGGTCGGCTTGGATGCGTTGTCAACGGCTCCCTCTAAAGGCTCACTGCGTATCCTGTCTGGCCTGAGCAAAGCTGCATTGGCCAGACGCTGCCTAGGTCTCACGGAGCGGGTTCCGGCGCCCTGAATGTCACGAAACAGGGAGCCCAGCTCACGGCAGACTTTAATACACGTCAGCATGCTTTGACGAAGAAGATGGTCAGCGTGACAACTCACATTCAGATCCGACATAAGCCCGGCCGGGGTCGAGTTCAGATGGGTCTAGGCCATCTAGGAGAGCCCGCATAGCTTCCTGGGTTGGCTCCAAAGATGTCTGGTCCGCATTCATTACGAAGTTCCTCACGGCCGTGACCGAGTAGAAATACTGAAGGATGCTGTTGAGATAGCATGTGTTCCGAAGGTTGTCGAGGCCAACAGGTAGTGACATAAACTCTGTCGTATCCTCAAACTGGGAGCCTTGTTCCGCGTTGGGTAGAAGGGGGAAGTCCGGAGCGCGGAGTTCTGCTTGAACCCTATCAAACTCTGCCCAACCGTCTTCGTCCGCTACGTTCTCCTTCCTCATAGCCTCCGCGAGCGTTTCACAGGCTTTGATAAGCAATCTGCGATCAATACCGTTCTTGACGGCCTCCCGTGCACCTGCAGCAGCAATCTCCAAGGACCAGCCCGGCTCAGATTCCAGAATTGAACATGCCTCGTTGTGGCCCATCTCTCCATTGAACACCTCGTCAAGTATATCCGAGTCGTCCCTGTCCTTGCCAATTTTGAGAAGGGCGATTCTGTGACTAGATAGCTGTCCAGGTGACTGCTCTCTGTAGGTTTTGTAAACGTTGATGAAATACCGGGCGTCTCCGTTTGTTTTTGGCTCGAGATTGAAGTGCCTATACGCTTTGTCTACGTCTGAAAGAGGCCCCTGAGTTTGAGGACCGCTGGGGGCGGCAGGACTCTCATCCAGACTGAAGACGTACATCTGAAACTCTTCACTCCTGTAGCCAGCCAAATTGGCAAGCGCAGTCTTGTAAGTGTGCCTGTTCGCCGAATCAACGCCCACCTGTTGGAGGAAGGCATACTTGAGCACCTCCTCATCGGACCTTTCGGATGCTCCCAAGATGCGAAAGTATTGGGCCTCATCCGAGTTTCGCGGCGATCGGGTCTCGTGGCTGCGAAGCCAGTCCGATATCAGGACCTTGTCCAGCCGCTCTATCGCATTAATCGTTGCCCCCACGACGGGCAGGTCCGGCCTCGGAGGGTTCTCGGCTAGGAAACTCTGCACCTCGCTTCTGACGTTCTCGAGGAAAGCACGTTCTGAGCCCAGGGGTGTTCGAAAGGTTGAGATAGGAAGCCGAGGGGGTACCCAGAACTTGTCCCCAGTTGCGATATCCACCTCTTCCGTGAAGCCAAGATAGAGGAATATGTCGGCACATGCTGGGCCAAACTGGACTGAGAAGGTCCTGTTGCGGCTGGCGATGCGCTTTTGCGGGGCGGTCCAGTCGTCCTCGAGAATGTTTTTGATGTACATGTTGAGGGTCTGTAAAGGAGAATTGGCATAACCATCCTCCTTTTCCGGTGTTAGGTCGCCGTAGCGTTCTGGCTCTTCTCTTTTGGCGACCGCCAAAGCGTTTCTTATCCTGTCCTTATCCATGATTCGGCTGATCCAGGCTGTTTCCAGGTGCGGCCGCAGAACGTCGACAGAAACGGTCTGGCTGCAGAGGGAGCAGACGTGAGTAGTAGTGCTAGTGGCACGGGGATAGAACTTGTCAGTCTCTTTCGGGGAGGCCGGCCTGTCTTCCATAGCACTGGCAACATAGTGGTGAGCTTGTCCGGTATGAAGTTGGCCGCATTCGTCTTCGGGAATGGTATATCTGACAACGAAGTGGTGACGGCAAAGCTTGCACATGCAGCTTATGATGAGGGGCGCGAGCTGGGCTCGACCGTCGTGGTCGACGCCATGGCTTTGTGAGCCGATAATGATCAGTTCGTGGAGTCGGCTTTTCGAGTTGTCCCGGCGTGAAGGGTCTCGCAAAGAATAGCAGTCAAAGACAGGATCGCCCTCACGAAGGATGCCCTTCAACAAGTCTTGAAGCCAACGTGAAGCCAGGCGACCTGCTTTAGGGGGAGGCGGCGGGGTAGGGTCCAAGGCCACTATGACAGGGGGTCAGTACTAGAGCAGAAGTAGATTGGGAGGTAAGAGTACTTTTGGGCTCCTAGAACAGCGTTATACCACCGTCTAATGCGATAACGTGGACTCGTTTGCGTACAACCAGTGGCTGTGTTGACGAATCGATAGCTATATGGCGGGGTATACGTGACGGTGTTGACGCCGGAGAGGACGGCAGGCTAGGTTGATGACGATGCAATTTAGTTGTGAATCAAACCGATGATTGATGGACGTCGGAGTGTCCTGTTGATGAGTGATGAAACGGGTTGGGTTGGGTATGGTGAGTTGGGGACCGCGGCGTCACCACAGGCACTGCAATGCTTCGACGCGGTAACGAATGGAGGGGCGGAGGGGTGGACGCCTTATGATGGGGGTACCTTTTGGTTGGTGGTTCAACGCAAAGAATGACGGGAGACTTGGAGCAAACACGGACGGCGCGGTTGATGACCGTTGTCAGTGGACTTGAGCGCTCTTGAGGGAAGGAGCACTTGTACACTTCTGTAAAGTCTCAACTGTGACGTGGGTGTCTCCAGCTGAGTAGTCCACCCAGTAAATTACGATATCACTCTTGTGACGAACAAAGTCACCAAGTTGATAGAAAGGTAGTCCATTGAGATATTAAACTTTGCTGGGCAACCAACCATAAACAAAAGCAAAACAACGTCTCTGTTTGTACCTGACGTGGAAGTTGAGATGATGAGAGTAAGAAGAGAGAGAAGCCGTGTACGCTGTATGTAAAGGTACTAGGACTGTTATGACCCCACCTTTACTTGAGATACGAAAGCTAGAGCTCATACGCACGGACCATACATATTGAGTTAGTGGTACCTGCTAGACCTGCCCGCGAAGCGGCCCAGCAGCTGCGAGGCCCCAAGCAACCTGAAGTTACCTAGGGCAGTCGCACTCAAATGCTCGCTGGGCACTGTAGCGCATCACTACCTCGACCGCTGTGACTTGTGAGGCTGGCCCATCGCCGGCACAACCAATCAATCGCAAGCTCAAGTACTCCCGTCTCGAGTCTCGACATCACTTCAAACCACCACGGGCACCAAGGCCACGCCGACATCACCACAAGCCCACCACACTACCTCGACCAAGATGGCGCCTCAAGGGGACGACACCATTTTTCAGCCCAAGGATGCCATCAAGTCCGGCGTCAGTGGCGCCCTCTTCAGTGGTGGAGCCGGTCTCTTGATCGCTTCCCTCCGAACCTCCATGAAGAAGAACAACGTCGGCAGCATGCACGTTTTCACCCACGGCGGAGGCACCATCATCAGCTTTGGTACGACATGATACCACATCAATTGCGACGACTGCCTGACTGACTTTGTCTCTCAAAAGCTTTCGCCGGTGGTGTCTACAGATTCGCCCAACAGGCCTCGGCGAACCTGCGCGAGAAGGAAGACGCCTGGAACCATGTGATCGGTGCTTTCCTCGGTGGAAGCGTCGTGGGCTTGCGATGTACGTACAAACGACGAGGAAAACGAAACCACCCCCAACCCTGTTTATACAATTCCATACGATGCGAGCGGTACCCCGTGCGCGGGAACGAACTACTCCACTTGCGACCCCAGACTACACGATTCATGCAATTGCTTGTAACTTGGTACCTACAACAACTAACTTTGGATATACTTCTTCAACAGCCCTTCGTTTCCCCGTCATCCTCGGCTTCGGCGCCATGGCCGGCGCCACCGTCGGTGCCTTCGCATTCACCGGTGGCAAGCTGAGCGGCTACGATAAGGACCCCAACGTCGACGAGTACGAGAGGAAAGAGGCCATGCGCCTGAACAGGAGGAGGCCGGTCGAGGAAACCCTTGCGGAAGTTGGCGAGGGTCGTGGTAGGTCTAATCAACAACCTCCAGGATATCTATCTTCTATGAACAAACTTGCTAACGAAACAACCCTGACAAGGTATCTACCCACCCGGCTACCAAGAACGCAGGCGCCAGAGACTCCTTGAGAAGTACGGAGTCGAGGTCAAGCCCGTCTCTGCGGATCCCAACGTTGCTTCTGCTTGAGCTTGAGAGAGATGGAGAGAAAGGTTTGAAGATACACAAACACGAAGATGATGACGACAGGCAGGATACAACAGGGCCCTGGCCTGGAAAACAGGACCCCGGCCTAGAGGCAAAACGAGAGACAGACACCAGGGAAGAACAGGATGGGCTTTTTAACTTCTACCTATCTATGGACACATAGAGGAAGGAGGACTAAAGAGCGATGGGGAAAACTGTACCATACCATTCAATATCATGTTCTCCTTTACATCACCATCGTTCAGTGGCATTGGATGAGAGGCAACGAGTGTATCCTTGTTGAGAAGTTACAGGTGGAATACGCCACCAACAAAAGCGTCTTGGAAAGTGGAATGATTGATTGTATATTTCTTGGACGACTACCGATCTTTCAACGAACTCAAGTTTGTACGAACACCGCACCGGACGAAAAAAACCAAGAACCAGTAACCAAGAGGGAAGGAACCACATGAACGTCTGATGTGGGGATACGGATAGGCAGCAGGCGGAAAAAACCAACAACGAAGCGTCATGGAGAAGATAGGTATTGATTGGTTGGATATATCCGGACCACCAACTAACCTACCTACCTACTAACGGATCCAAATTTATGGCGGAACACCGGACTAGACTAAACTCCAACAGGAACAAAACAGACGTCGGGTCCAATGGGGCTAATAGACACGCAAGACAACACTAGAGAAGGTTTCAGACTCGCTCGGGGAAAAGAAGGAGCATCCGTCAACATCTAGTGTCCGAGTACGCTGTTATTGACACTAACTCTGGCTGATATTACGTCCGGGTAATATGATGGTGATGTAGCAGCAGCGGACAGAGATAGGGGGGTAAGTAAGGAGATAGGAAAGGGAACTAGTGAAGAGACGGACGGGTAAGACAGGTAAAAAGACAAATGAAACGAATAAGTAAGCAATCAAGTCAAGAGATAGGTAAAGACAGATACAAGAGACAGGAAACAGATAGGTAAAGAGACAGGTAAAGCGACGGGTAAAGAGAAGTTAAGAGAGAGGTGAAGAGACGGTTGAAGAGAGAGGCGAAGAGAGAGGTGACGAGACGGTTGAAGAGAAAGGTAAAGAGACACCTCCAAGTACAGAGACACTTCTAGGTTAAGACAAAAGGGAGATTTACATAAGAGCGGAATGGCAAGAAAGACCAAGTCGCAACCTCTATTTATTTGTAGATACGTTCGTGTTTTAAGCATGTGGTTTCTCGTTTCCATAAGTAAGCATGGGGTAACTTCAGAATGGGGAGATGGGAAAGTGGGAAACAGAATGGCAGCCCAACAGCCCGCACTGGGGTTGAAACCACCTGACGGTATTCTTACTACTAGGACACTCATTTCCCATTCCCTCTACCTTAAAAGGACTCGACTACTGACCCGTCGCGATGTTCCAATACACCAATGGAGTACTCAGCAACATGTACCAAGCATGTTTGCCAGTACACCGTAAGGGATATACTCAACACTGATGATCTAGTCAATGACATCCCGTCTGGCCAAGACGGATCTCACGAACATTCACACATAAGGGAAGCATTTTGAATGAACAACGCTGCCACCTCAATTGAACTAAGTAAGCAGCCATCTGTAGCTATATCTGTAGCTATCTGTAATCATACCATATAGAAGTACAGTGTAGATAGGTATATATAGAGTATAAAAGAACCCCATGAAAAGAAAAAAAAGAGTATGCCAAAAAAAAAAAACCCGTTAACCCCAAGATGCTTTTTTCCAAAATCACACAACATTAAACATCATCTCTCCGTTCATCTTTAAAGCTTCATACCAGTCATCTTGGCAACGCGCAAGCTCTGCCTTATGCTGAGATCAAGCATGATCTCCTCCGAGCCACCGGGGATGGCATAAGCCCTGACATCACGGTACAGCCTCTCGACCTTGCCGCCCTGGCCGCCGCGGGAGTAGGACAGACCACCGAAGATTTGCGATGCCTCACGGGCGCAAAACTCGAAAGTGACGGTGGCCTGGGCCTTGAGGGAGGCGATGGCGCCGCCGAGGCGGAGCATGGCCTCGGTCTCGCCCATCTTCTCGCACTGGTAGATGAGGTTCTCGAGCCAGTTGTACGAGGCCTCGATCTGGCGGGCCATGTGGGCGAGCTTGAGGCGGATGACGGGGTGCTCGATGAGCTTCTTGCCGAAGGTGCGGCGCTTGTTGGCGTACTTGACCGACTCCTCGTAGCAGACGCGCGAGAAGCGGAGGCACTGGATGATGATGCCGATGCGCTCGTGGTTGAAGTTGGTCATGATGACGCGGAAGCCCTGGTTCTCCTTGCCGATCAGGTTCTCGACGGGGACCTTGACGTCCTCAAAGGTGATGTAGGTGGTGCCCGAGGACCAGACACCCTGGCAGTCCATGCGGCGGGTGGACACGCCGGGGAAGTCGCGCTCGATGAGCAGGAGAGAGACGCCGTTCATGCCGGGGCCGCCGGTGCGCACGGCCGTGGTGAAGTAGTCGGACCAGATGCCGTTGGTGATCCACTTCTTCTCGCCGTTGACAATGTAGTGCTTGCCGTCCTCGCTGAGCTTGGCCTCGCAGGTGAGGTTGGCGACGTCGGAACCGGCGTCGGGCTCGGTGATGGCAAGGCAGATGCGCTTGTCACCGTTGAGGATGCCGGGCAGGATGCGGTCGACAAGGGACTTCTTGCCGAACTTGACGAGGGGAGGGCAGCCGATGCCGAAGCCGCCGATGACGTTCCAGACGAAACCACCGGAGCCGGTGCGGCTGAGCTCGTCGGTCAGGAGCATCTCGTGGAAGAGATCCCACTTCTCGGCGGGGACGGACTTGATGGGGTTCTCGACATAGTTGCTCTGGTACTTGGTGCCAAGCAGACCGGCGAGGTAGCCGCGCTTGCCCATCTCCTTATAGATCTCGGCAGGAACCTCCTTCTTCTCATCCCACTCGGTGACATAGGGGTCGATGGCGGTCTCGACCCACTCGCGGATCTCGGCACGGAGGGCGGCGTGAGTCTCGTTGTAGTAAGGAGAGTGGTACTAATGAAAGCAAAAAGTGGATTAGCCGAGGCACATGGAAGGAGATAGCGCCAGAAACTTGAGAGGTGGTTTCCAACTTACGCTCTGGTACCAGCTGGGGTCAGCAAAGGGGATGAGCTGGCCGAAGGGCTCGAGAGCCTCGGATTCCTCGTGTGAAGAGGAGGCAGCAGCAGCAGCCTTGGGCTTGGGGGCGGCCTTGGGAGCAGGGGCGGGAGCAGCAGCGGGAGCGGGAGCAGCGGCCTTGGGCTTGGTGTCTAGGGAGCCGATCTGGAGCTTGGGCTGGTACTTCTTGAGAATGCCCTCGTTGTGGTACTTCCAGAACTGCTTGGAGGCGTCCTTGCCGCCAACTCTCTGGAGGATCTTCTTGCCGCCTGTTCCGATCACAAACGGTCAGTTCAGTTTCTAGGCTGCGCCCTCGGGGGAAGCAGAGGATGGAAGTTTGCGCATAAACATACCGGGATGGTCATCAGCAAACTTGGTGACATCGTAGACATCGCCATCAACGACAATCCAGAGCGAGTCTGGCTTGTTGTGCGACGAGACGTCGGCCTGGGTGAAGATCTTGGACATGATGGGTATAGGGTATAAGAAATGGGTATATGGATGAAAGAGTTCGAGGAGAAGAAGAATGAAGATGAAGAGAGAGAGAGACGGAAGAATATCAAAGAAAATAAAGACTTGAATCAAGAGGACCACGAGGGCACAAGTAAGAAAGAAATATGGGGGAGTGTGGGGGAGTTGTGTTGTCTCCTTGTCCCTTGTCGCATCCATTAAACATTCCAAGCATTCCCCCGGAGGCCCCGGTTGTACCACAGTATGGATTCGCGCAGCCAATGGTTGGCGGCCAACGGTAATGCGCCGAACGGACTTTCACATGTGATCATGCCACGGAAAGCTTCCACACCGACGTCTTCTTTGAAAGTGGAAGTTGGAGCAAATGCGCATGAGATCTGATATTGGCAGGATGACAGACGTCGGTCGGTGTCTGACACCCGAGAAATCTGCCAACATTGTCTGAATATTTGGTTCCGACAGCTGCACGCTGCCAGTGTCAGTCTGATCATTTGTGAGTTGAAAGTCACTGAATGAGAAGTCTCTACGGATGGCACGGTCGCAACCATGATGAAGCAGCCAAAGGACACTTTGTCAATCAACCAGAAGCCTGTGATCCCTCGATTACCGAAAGCTTGAAGTTCTGAATTCAAAGGCTATCTGCATTTTCGACTCCCATTCTAGGATTTGGAGATATCTTCATCCTCGACCTCCAACAGTTGCTGTTTCCTGCCCGTGGGGAAGACCCCTGCGCTATGCAATCCGACCCGGGCACCTCCACCTTCGGTTTCTCACTTCCGTTGACATGAAACTTCACTTCTGCAGGTTGTTCCAATGCAATCGATGGAAACTTTCAACTGGCCTTTGCTCCAGTCTGCCAGAGGAGGAAGGCGACGAGGCTGATCAATCTGGCAATGTTAATGGAATACGGGAACATGTGACACACCCCAAACCAACTCCAATTTCCATTTGCGGTCTTGAGTGTCACTGTTTCCCCACGTTCGGCTGATGTCATTTGTTCCAGTGGGACCAATTGGAACGGCTGGGATTACCACCCAACAAATGAGCCGAGGCAAGTGTGGTGCTGCCACGGTGCGTGCCGCGGCGACAGCGTGCACTGCACTAATGCAACTCCACGGCGCCGAACAAATTGTGGGGTTGGGGATACATAACAAAACTTCTTATTGCAGCAACTTGCTCCGTGATAGCGGTCTGTATCCCATGATAATTAATACATAAACATGGTCCGGAGATGGTGGTAGATCTGTGAGGACTCAATCATTCATTCGCATGAACAAAAAAAAAGATGCATATTCCCGAAACCTCGAGTTCCACGGATTCCTCAACGTGCTGGAACGATGCACGCATATCCAACCCGTATCCTTTTCCTTCCCGCCTGTAAACTCCAAGAAACTCCTGAAACTCCAGCACCCATCAGAACACGGTAGGTAATCGGCCACGAAATGACATTCCCGCCCTAAGCACCACGAGGCTTCGCCTTAAGCTTCGCCTTCTCCTTCTTCTCGTCCTTGACCTTCTTCCTCTTCTGCTCCGCCTGCTCCTCCAGCTTGCGCTTATGCGCCTTCTTCTCCTCCTCGGACTTAGGCAGCACCTTGAAGAAGCCCTCGATTCTCGCCTGCTGCGAGGTCTTCATGTTCTTCTCGAGCTTTGTGCCCGCGCTGCGGACGCGGTCCTCCGAAAACCCCTTCTCGTGACCGAGGAACTGTACGAGCCCCTCGATGTCGGGCTTCTCCCACTTGAAGTCGCACAGCGGGTCGTCGGCAGGCCGCACGTCCGGCTCGAAGAAGAGCGCGCGCGCGTCCTCGAACGGCCAGTCCTCCGGGATTTGGTATTTGCCCTTGGGGTCGGCTTTCATCGCCTCCACCACCTTTTCGAGCGTGCCGTGCTCGCGGATCAGCTTGAGCGCTGTGCTGGGACCGACTTTGGGGATGGGGTCGAGGTAGTCGCAGCCGAGGAGGATGCAGAGGTCGACGAACTGTGTGGGACAGGGTGGTTAGCATATCGCCGCAAACTTTCGGGGAGATAGCGCATAGGAAACAAAGAAAAGGGAAAAAAAAAAAAAAAACATACCTGCTTCCTCTCCATATTCAACCCCTCCAACACCTTCTCCAAATGGATCTCCTGAATCGGCTCCTTCCTCTGCTCGCTAAACGTCAAATGCCTCAGCAAAATCGGCGTATTAAAGCACAACGTATCCATATCCTCGCTCGCCGCCGCATACACCTTGCCCGCGCGCGCCAGCACCGCGCACTGCGCCTCCGCCTCCGTCGGCGCCACAATGTAAGGGATGCCCATCAACTTCAACAACCTCTGGCACTCGGCATTGTGCTCGCGCGTGACGCGGACTGTTCGCCTCGAAAACTTCTCCACGTCCTCGGCCGTTCCCGTTTCTTTGGCCTCCTCCAGCCCTTCGGTGGCTTCCTGCTTGCGCTGGAATCGCTTGGCTAGCTCGCCTGATTTCAGCTTGGGCGGTGCGCCATCGAAGACGTAGAGGGGCTTGATGCCGTTCTCGACCATCCGTAGGGTACGGTAGAACATGCCCATTAGGTGCGAGGTGGTTTCGCCGGCTTCGTTCATTAGTTGTTGGCCGTCGGAGCGGACGGCGATTAGGAAGCTGTAGATGCTCATGGAGCTGTATTACGGAGGGAGGGGTTTGTTAGCGATTATGGAACGCTAGGTTTTGGGATTTATGATCGGGATCGGGGTCGGGCGGGGGAGTCGTACGCATCCTGGAAAGTAGAATATCAGCATGGATTGAAGATTGAAAGTTAAGTTGATCGGCGGCAAGGGGAAAAGAGACAACAAACTCACAATGGCAACCTTGCGACCGAACTGGTTCTTGATCTCGCCCTCCTTGATGGCGTCCGGCGCTTCATCTTTGATGATTGAGAAAAGCTGTTTAATACCCATCTTTGTGGTTGTGGTTCATGCGATGCTGGGTTCGAGTTTTCGATGGATTGGCAAGATAGGAAGGCGATTGCGATGCTGTGCAGAGTTCGGACGTCGGTGGTTGAAGACAGTCGGAAGGGTGTCTTGATCGTTTGTGGGTGATGTCACTTTATAACGGGAAAAGAGAGGAAGCTTTCCGCGTCCGTCCAGTGGAATTGACGCGCTGAAGCTGGAGGGGACTCGATTGCCTGCCTGGAAACGCACCTCTTTCGCGATGGTAAATGTGGGGCACTTAGAATCCCTGCATGCATTTCTGGGATGCTTACGGGTTAGGGTTGAATGTCTACTCAGAGCAAAGGGGTTGATGAACCAAGCATCGAGCTTGTCTTTTTTTCTTCTGACCTCAAGCACCTCTGGAGTGGTCTTTTGAATGTTGAGGAATAATATTTGTTTCATGCAATCTTGCCAACACAAAGTTTCTTGCTCAAACTTCCTGACTGCCTTGAGCTTCTCCATGTGACCTGGAAACAAAAAGTGGTATAAGTGGTACATACAGAGGCACAACAGCTGACTATCTAGCAAATTTCGTAATCATCTCCATCCAAACATGCTTATATACTATAATGAAAGACGCAGGAATGACGGTTTGGTGAATCATGCCCCAGTGATGAGGTTGTTGAGTGAAAGTTGGTAAACGGGCATACAGAAACGAAGGTAAACCCTTAGAAGTTCTCCTTGCCCCAGACATAGTGGAAACTATCACAAAAGGTTAGCATCTTCCTACTACATTTTCACTACAAGCGGAATATGAACTTACCCAGGCTCACTATACTTGTTGCAATAGACATGCAACGAGCTACCCAGTCCCTTGGGACCGCAGAAGAACACACCCGCCTCGCCCGGAGCATGCAATTTCCTGATACCCCTAAAAATCATATCCCAGTTAGGACGGCCAAAGTTCGTCGGCGACCTCAATCCCGTAATGGTATCCTTATCGGCATTAGCATCATTTATCATGATGTTGGTCGCATCATCAATCTTGATCTTGGCCGTCAGGTACGTGTGGATCTCGATGCGGTGGTCGACGTCCTGGGCCTCGATCGCCAACAAAAGCGAGCGGAACCACTCGAACGAACCGAAATCTCTGCAGATCCAGAAGAAGTACACCTTGCTCAGCCGCGTCTTTTGCTGCGGGTAGTTCATGCGGTACCAGATCGACTTGAGGATGGAGGCGAAGGGGGTCACGCCGATACCGGCGCCGACGAGGACCGACACCTCGTACTTGAACACGTCTTCGGAGGCGGAGCCGAAGGGTCCGTCGACGTACACGCGAGGAAGAACGCGGCGGAGAGCGGGGTCGACTTCGTCGTTCTCTTGGCTGACGCCGACGACCTTGGACGTGTCGTCCTTCTTCTTGTTGTCGAATTCGCACCCCAGGGCCTCGGCGACTTGCCTGGTGAAGTCGCCGACGACACGCATGTGGATCGAGATGTAGTCCTCCTCCGGCGCGCTCGTCAGGGTGAAGGGATGGTACTGCCACAGGGAAACAGCCGGGCAGCAAAGGAAGATGTACTGGCCGGCCCGGGTCTTGGTGTTCTCCTTCTTGATCTGGATCTCGCACACGTTGCTGGGGTGCTGGACGACCTTGGAGATGTACGTCTTGTGCTTGCCACGGACCTCGCGGGCAATGCGCTCGGCGAGATAGGCAAATCCTCCGTACATCCAGTACTGCCAGAACACACCGATGGCCTGGGTGCCGACGGAAATGCAGAAGGGCGCGAAGTCGGGCTGGATCATGCAGAAGGCACCGTGGATGGCCCAGAAAAAGAAGAAGATGATGAACATGTGGTGGGTGTACCAGAATCGCTCGTAGTTCGCCCGCCTTGTCTTCTCGACCGAAGTGATCACCATGCCTGTCAGCGCGATCAACATGATATAACCAGTCCAACCGGGACCCGAGACAAAGTTGGCCAACAGCCAGCCGTAAATACCGAGGTTGTTCTTGGCTGCGATCTGGGCGAAGTTGTTCCAGTGGGCAATGGTATGCACCCACGACCAGAAGAAGATGGACCATGCTGTCGTGATGTGGAAGGTAATGTTCTTGTCGAATTGGATGATGCCGTTCAGAGGAGTCTGTCTTGCGAGGGAGATGAGCGTTCGGCAGACCGGGAAAAGGACCAGGGCAACATCGACGTGCAGAACCAGCGCTGCCGATCTTGCAATCATATATGTAGGTCCAAACGTATCCCGCGCTATTTGTAGGTTGTCCTTGACGGCGTAGTTAACGAAGCCAAAGGCAAAAACGATGGCGTGAAGTAGCATAAAGACGAAGACGAAGCTGTAACAGTCAGCAATCCATACTTTGGTCAAAGGGACTGTGAAGTGTTGTGCTTACATTCGTCGGTAGCCTTCGTTGACCATCCATCGATCGAACCTTTCCCTTGGGCTCAGCTCCTTTTGCCTTTCTTGGGTCATTTCACCCGATAAAAGCATGCGTGTGAGTGGCGTCCATCTTGACCTTTCTGACGGCTTTTCGATCGACGAATCTGTTTCCGACCTGTACAGGTCATACCCCCCGTAACTCATCTTGTGTAAGTTGCTTCTGTTGTCGTCGCAATATTCGCGTGTATCGTTCGTGATCCAACCGTAGTGTCCGTCGAACTTATACCCAATTCCTTTTCAGCCCTTCAGTTGTATGTCGTAGACCCCTCAGCCCACTCAAGAAAGTTGTAAAGTTGTTGTTGAATGATGATGAATTGGTCCTCGGGAGTCAGAGCCTGCTGAACTGGTCGAGAGACACAAGTATTAAGAGAATGATAATAAAATGTCTGTAAAAGAATGTAATGGTATGAGCCTGTAGTGCCACGGTAAGGTGGTGTCGGTCAGCGATCACAAGCTCTAGATGGTGAATGCTCTGCAGCAACGGGAAAAGAGGAGGAAAGGAGCAAAGAGGCTAGACCGAGTACGGGACGTGGGAGGAAGAGTATGGTTAAGGCAGTGAGACGCCAAGCGGATCAGAGTCGGAGAATCATACCTGTACTACGAATGCCTGCACCTGGCGGCTGCTTCTCTTTCACCTATCGGAGAACGGAAGCCTCGATGTCGAAAACGACCAAAGTGTGTCAACTCGGTAGGTGAGAAGAGGAAAGAAGACGGCAGAGAGTGCACAAGCAGAAGAAATGACTCGACAAAGTGTTTGAGGCACAGCACAGACTGAGTGACGTAGAGTCGTATGGACCAGGGACTGAGGCGGCTTTCCCAAGTCTGGAACCTGCCAGGGGCTTTTCAGGGTACCATCAAAAAGAGAAATGAGAAAAAGACACCGAGAAAATCGAATGATGGAAAGCGTGGGATCCTTTACAACTTCAACCCCAGGTTCGTCGATGTTGATACAAGCGACCCTGCCGAAGGTGTCATTGGCGTTGTTAGGGTGCAATGGGTGTAATGGGAGCACCAGGCACTCCCAGTGCTTAGTCGCCGCCACAGCGAATGAAAACACAGAAGTGATTTCAACAGGACCGCCGTTTGCCGTGTCTCTCCAGTCAAGTCGCTTTTTAACGCCCAGATCTGTGTCTGTGCCTCGTGTGGCGTCCCAGGCTATGGGAGACATTGTTCACTTGAAGATCATCTTTACCACAGAGGTTGGTGGTTTTCTGTGCCGGAGAGCCGAAATCCCATGGCCTCTTCGATCTCGTGAACTCTCAAAAGCGGCAACGGAAACCTAGAAGGCGACGACCAAAGAGGACTTGTGGTGAGTTAAAAAGAGCGTCGCGGTTCAACCCAAGAAAGGACCGCGTGGTGTCAATAACCGATGAGATATGGCGCCATTTTGGATTCATGACCAGCTTCTCCTGTTTGAACCGATGCGCTTCAGACCCTTTTGGAGTTTGCTAAGAACTGCCCAGTCAAGGCGGATGGGATCATGGACGTTACGTTGTTCGGAGATGGAGAAATCCCGTCGAGCAAGACGACACAGACACTGGAACTTTTTTGAAGACTGCAAAGACTCTGGGGACTTGAAGACATGGGCTAAAGTGCCCCATAAAAGTCATCATTCGGTCTCATGATTGGTCAAAGGCTGTTCATTCGGTTCAGCCCGTGTTGCAGTCCCCGTTTCGGCCAGGATCCTGACACATTTGACAGGGGAGTCTTGAGGGGTCTTGGCGTTGTGCTAGGACCTCTATCTCAAGGCCCAAGCAGTCTCAACTGAAGCATCCGGATAGAGATCATGTCTTCACAGCCTTCACCATCCAAATTTAGATATCGGCATCACGATTCGGTACGTACTGTAGTTGTCTGGTTTGATTTTCGATTTGAATGTCCAGTGACCATGAAGTCTCATCGTCATCGGGTTACTGTTGTGCGGGCTCGATCCCGTGCAACCTCAGCCCAGGCTTCTAAGCGCCGAACTCTCAAACCAGCCTTTTGTCACCTCAGTTCCAGGTTGAGGACTTCGAAGAATGGGCAACTGTTCAGCATGGCCGCGGCGATTGTTTGCCCAGCTCAACCAACGTAACCGCGGGGAGGGTCAGCCTGATGAGCCGGGTATCTAAGGTCCCAACGCCGGCAAGTCTTTGCCGTCCGGGCATACCATCAACCTCTTGTACATCTTCTCTTTGACTCTGCCGTTCAGTCAGCCTGAAAACTTGCAAATTCATTATCATGGCCTGTGATGAGAGTCATTATCTCGCAATCAACACAACATACACGATAGCTAGTCAGTCACCTACCAGTCTTCTGGACAGCCTGTTGGGCCTGTGAGCCACATGTCAAGGAGATGACAAGTCTCTCACACTTCATCTAAGCAAAGTTGCGGTGCTTCGACCATAGCCATCAAGGTCAGTAGCGGGACAATTAGTCGCACATCGCCCGATACCATACTCGTACATGAAAGACGTCATTCACGGTTAGAGCATAGGCCAAGTATTAAGAACGGTAGAGGGAAAGACAGAATGCTATTGTACTGGAACCCCTTGGTATTGCAGACCTTTGTGAATCATGTAATGCGAGCAAAGAAACTTGAGTGCCGGTACTCAATGGTTGCATCTTGCACCTGCTGATTCCGCCCCGCCCCTTGTCGTGACATCGAAAGACACCGCTTGCTGTGCCACACCCACGTCCTCCGCTGTTTCGAGCCGCTCGAATGGTATTTGCAACTTTCGCACTGAAGAGAGCTGGGAATCCCCTCTGAGCCTAGAGGGATATAGGACGCGAACCGGAACCACAAGACACTCGTGCTCCCATGGTGAATATGTGGGTGCCCCCCGGAGAGAGGGGCCAAAACGTTGAAGAAACGATCCAGCGCTGCTTGTCGGCCATAAAATCCATCCCATTATCTACTCTAGATAGCATACTTCCGGGTCCACTCGCGAGCCGTCGCCTCGTACCTGGCGCGGTCTGTCTTGTACACGTGCGCAATCTCGGGCACAAGCGGGTCGTCAGGGTTGGGGTCCGTCAACATCGAGCAGATGGAGAGCAGAACTGCACAATTGTCAGCGGCCTAAGACCATGAGAGCCAGAAGATGATGGACAGAGAAACGTACCCTTGGAAATCGTCAACGCCGGACTCCACTGATCCCTCAAAATATCGAGGCAGATGCTGCCGTTCGAGTTGATGTTGGGGTGATAGATCCTGGTGGTAAAGCTGACTTTGGGGGGCTTAAAAGGATAATCGGTAGGGAACTGAATGTTGAGGAAGAAAACGCCGCCGGTGTAGGGAGAGTCGGCAGGGCCCATGATGGTCGCTTGCCAGTGGAACTGTTCAATCATGGATGTCAGTAATCCTGTTCGCGAGCACGATGCCACGGTTCGACCCAGGGCAAAGGTCATGACGCGATGCCGGGGGTCGAGCCGTGCTTATCGAAAAGCGGGGTGGCTTATCCATACAAGATCTTCACCCTGAGGGCCAGCAGAGCAGGAGGAGGGCGGATCGCTGCGAACAACAACACGTTAGCATCAAATCCAACAGCATACACGGAATGCATCTCTGGCATCTGCGGAAGCGGTCGAGACGGCGCGAGGTTCGGCGACGGCGACGGCAGCGGCGTAAACCCCGCCAGCGCGACCCCACCACTAAACCTTGCGCCGGAATGATGCTTTTGCGGCATCGCGCGGGACGGTAAAAGGGCTAGCGGGACTCTTGTTTACGTACCGGCCGAGATCAGCGAGCTCCTTGTTAATGCGCTTCAACGCCATTGTGTGATATTAGTTGTGTAAAGGTGGGTGGTTGTGGTTGTCGTAAGCGCTGTTGCGTTGACGACACGAAGGGTGGCTGCAAGATTTAAAAGGGTCAGGGTCAGCGTTTGCGGGCGGTGGAAGAGCAAAGAAGCGGAATGAATGGGCAGTGGGCAGTGAATCAGGCTGGGCTGGCTGCGGCGATAATAGGCACGTCGGTCGTGCAAACGGGAAAAAAGTCGATCACGAATGGCGCGGACGAGAGGACGGCGGCTCGACTTACAAGATGGAAAGCAAAAAGCACTATATCGCTGAGTCACACCAAGCGTATTGGGTTGGATTTCGTCAACAGGTGAGAAGATGGTGACGGGATGCAAACTAGTTGATGTCGAAGTTGCAGGAGAGTAGGATGGAATGGCGGAGGGGGAAATGGATCAGGATCAGGCGAAGAAAGGTGGGTTCCCGCGTTCAGGTGCCAGCGGGCGGGAGCCTGAGGAAGCCAGTCCCCGGCCGCCCAGTGAGGTTGTCCCACCAGTCCCAGTCTCTGGGCTACGGCGCGCTTTCGCTGCCCGCCGATGGCACTGCCCGTGGCCGACCACTCAAGGCTCTTGCTGCATGACCGCCTGCCGAAGTTGTCTGTTGGCCTGGGCGGCATGGGCGGCAATTCAGATGGCAGGGGTGGTTTGACGCCCACGAAGCTGACCAATCATTGATCCTAAAAAGGACAGCGCCACTGGCTGACCTCGTCATCGTCAGTGCACCGCCACCGCACTGGCGAGCTCATTTCGAGACGAAAGACTCCCGCCGGCAACAGTTGCCGGCCGGTGCAGTTGGAAGACAACGACCGATCACCAACGACGACCGGAACATTGCGACGAAAATCATCAGTGCAATGAAGCTTCCACTTTCTATTCGAGTCGTTACCAATCGCTCATCATCTCTTCTCAATGCACAACTGTGGTGTTACCATTGTTTGCTTGAATGAATAGAAGGAGAAATTACTTGGCGAGGTTGAAATGTGTTGTTTAGGGCCGAAGAGTAGCTAGGCTGAGATGGAAGGAAGAGCGAACCGGAAGTTATCATACCGTATGTCTTCAATAAGGTTCTGTTCAAACCGAACGACGTGCCCCGGTTTTTCGGATGATGGTTGATGCAACTGGCTCCGGGTCGGCTCGGAGTTGGGGTTGAGGCCCGGGCGTACCAACTATGCAAGCAGCGGTGCACCTTTCGGCCCCGGAAGGCCGGACGACACTGGCAGATCACACCCAAAAGTACGAATCGGCAGTGAGTATCATAAATAGGAACATCAAATGGCTGGAAAAGTATGTGGAACAGTGCAGTGGCTTTGTAGGAGGTGATTATGCATGTCTCCAGCTCATCTGTGCAGCATCTTGGAGTTTAAAGTCGGACCTCCGTCGCCATGCACTCCACGACAAAACCTCGGACTTCAAGAACAGATGGGATATCGTTTCTAAGCACCAATACCTAGGCTGGAAATGTACATGAAGGAGTCATTTAGTTGTGCTTATGGAGATTCGGCTGTAGGTATCTCACAGTTGTGTGCATGATGCCCGAGGGCTCAACCTCCGTCATGCATTCTCGGCCTTGGAAATTGTACAGAATTGCCTCCGCAGATGGTGTTGCATAACCACATTTCTCTTTTCCAGTGGAAAGATAAATACTCATTCTCCCCTCCTTGTCCTCGGGGTGGCCTCTTCTTCTTTTCTTCCTTTGTTCAACAGTGTGGACTTTTGTGTTCTTTTCATCAACAAACTAACACTCTCCTTGAACATGACGCCAGCATGCTTTGGAAACCGACAACCAAATACCATCAGAATGATAAGGTAACGGTCATATCGAGATTACACACAACACGGAATCCGTTCGACAACATATCCAGGTTCACAGCATACCACAGGTACAACTACCGACCGCTCCAACTGATCACTCTCACCGATGTACCAACATTAAAAACACTACGACGTCTTGAGGGAGTTGCCAACACTCGGCAAGCAGACGTACAAGGTACAATAGGAACATGGCAACTCTGAATGAACGAACTCAACCCATGAATCACCAGTTGACCGACAGGAGACACTGATTCAAGATGACCACCACCACCCATGCCAACCACGACAATACGGAAGCCGACTGAGCCAAAAGATTTTCTTCCTCACTTCGCCAGGACGATGAAACTCATCCCAACGAGAGCAACGAAAAAAAAGTGTGTTTCGTCAAAGACGAGAGTGTGACACCAAAAATTGTGCGGTGGCTAAACTACGGGCCCATCTCACCGAAGTGAGATCCCTGCCATGGATTCTAGAGCGCATGACAGAACCGACGAATGGTTTGGAAGAAGAAGAGAAAAGGAAAACAATTCAGAGGAGGGAGAGCAGGGATATATATACACTTGTGGAAGCTGATCTGACAGACTTGATCCCATATTTGCGAAGGCAGTGCGCCTTCCGCGACAAGCGACACTTGCCGAAATACGTTCGATCCGGTCAACAACATCCAATCGACATGCCACCGCTAATCCGCCTTATCTGAACACCGAGGAAAGAACGAACATTCGAGTACGGGAAGGCACGACACAATACTGTGGAAGCACACCACGACAGGACGGGATCAGCAACAGACCGGCCGCCGCGGGTTCCCATCGACGACAGAACGTTCCTGCCATTAAATGACCCCGACGACATATCACTCGAAATAAAACCAGCAAGCGCCCCCCAACACTGTTCTTCGACAAGTTTCCGAGGACGTCGTTCGAACCTGAACATCAGCAGCGGTCCAGATTGAAGACAACTTAAGGCAAGCACTCCACTGCACAGGACCATCAAGAGTGAAAGAACCACCATCGACCGAATATGAAATCAACCTAGTACCCGAACCATCGTGAGTCAACAACATGAATAGCACGACGCCAACACCTCACATTCAAAAGACAAAGTCATATAAGAACCGGAATAGCGAAACCAAACGCTCAACCATTTGCCCACGAGACAAATCTTCTATAATACGTCGGCCGTAGGATTCTTACCCAATGGTGCGGAACGAAAAGCACAAGACGGAATCAAACACCGGCAAGTCCAGCATGGACGGCAACTGCGAACCGGGGGCTTCACACATGGAACTACCTTATTCTGATGAGCGGTTGGGCTGCATAGAAAATCACACCACCGGGCAATAGGCATCGTCCTTGTCACGGCAACCGCGGGCGGATGGTGGGAAGAGTAGTGTAATTCCATTGTGTTGATGACCTGGCAGTTGCAATGCCACTGAGACGGTTCTTGCTATGAGAAGATGAGTGCTCCTTACTGAATCTTGTTGAGCGGGTTGAGCAACTTCCCGGTTGGTAGAGGTATCAATGGAATGGGCTTTCTGCTAATGATGTGCTTTAGAAAATCGTTACTTATCCTCCCATGAGTGGCTAGCCTGTATGGGCCACTCCTGCCTGGCGAGGCAAGACTCTTCCTTGGAGAAAGTGGCACCTGTACTCTTGGATGAATGCGAGAGAAGTGACGGAGAGAAAGAGACTCGGAACTTCTACCTCGAACAGGAGATAAAGAAGCCAAGGATGCAGAGCATTCGCGACCGGTCAACTTTGTGGTATCGATTCAAACACCGAAATCTGTTACTGTACATAGTATATGACAATACGCTTCGCCCCCAAACATCACACTTCGCATGAAAAGAAGAACCTGTTTTCACATCATCTTACACAAAGGCCTGAACACCAGTGATAGCCCTTCCCAGAATGAGACCTAAGCCAACCAGTCAGCATCTTCACTTCACCTGCCTCACCCAGTCAGAAGGTCAAAACTTACTGTGAATATCACTCTGGCCCTCATAAGTCTGCGTAACATACAAGTTGGCAACAACACGGCCAATATGGTACTCATCCGACACCGCATTACCACCAAAGATCTCCTGCAGCGTGCGGGCGTGGTACAATGTGCGGTCGCAGTTCTGGCGCTTGATCATGCTGATCATCTCGGGCGTGGCCTTGCCCTCGTCCTTGAGGCGGCCGACCTGGATGGCGGCCAGGGTGCCGTACGCGACGTCGGTGGCCGCCTCGGCCAGCTTCTTCTGCACGAGCTGGTACTTGGCCAGCGGGTTGCCCTTGAACTGCTTGCGCTCGAGGGCGTAGGTGCGCGCGCGCGCGAGGCAGTCCTCGAGCGCGCCCATCATGCCGAAGGCGATGCCGAAGCGGGCGCTGTTCAGGCACGTGAAGGGACCCTTGAGCCCTTCGACTTCGGGGAACATGTTCTCCTTGGGCACGGGGCAGTTGTCCAGCTGGATCATGCCCGTGATGGAGGCCCTCAGTCCGGTCTTGTTCTTGATCTGGGGGGTCTCGAGCGTACCCGGAGGGCAGGCGGACCGCTCAACCAGGAAGCCGCGGATCTTGCCCGTCTCCTGCAGCTTGGCCCAGACGACCAGGACGTCGGCGATGGGCGAGTTGGTGATCCAGGTCTTGGCGCCGCTGAGCAGGTAGACGCCCTCCTTGGTAGGGTGGGGACGGGCGACGGTCTCCATGGAGCCCGGATCGGAGCCGTGGTTGGGCTCGGTCAGGCCGAAGGCACCGATGATCTTGCCCTTGGCCATGCCGGGCAGGAAACGCTCCTTTTGCTCGGCGGTGCCGAAGTCGTTGATGGGGCCCATGACGAGCGAGGACTGGACGGACATGCCGCTGCGGTAGCCGCTGTCGACGCGCTCGACGGCGCGGGTGATCAGACCGCTGGCCACGGAAGAGACGCCGGCGCAGCCGTAGCCCTCGATGGTGGCGCCCAACAGGCCCATGTCGCCCATCTCCTCGAGGATCTTGGGGTCGTAGTGCTCATCGCGGTAGGCCTGCAGCACGCGGGGGAGAAGCTGTTCCTGGCAGTAACGCTCGGCTGTCTCACCGATGGCAATCTCGTCCTCGGTCAAGAGCGACTTGTGGTTGAGAGGGTCTTCCCAGTTGAAGGAGGGAGCGCTGGAGGTGGCAGAGGCAAAGGCACGGACGGGAGTGGTGACGTTGGTGCGCGGCGCCGAGAAAGCTTGACGCAGAAGCCCTTGAGGGCATCTCCTGGCGAGAATCCGAGACATATTGGACTGATCAAACAGTAACTGAAGAACGACTGGTTAACCTTCCAAATGAATCTCAAGATATGTTTTATAAAGTCACAATCCAGATTTCAAATGAAGACATGGAGTCCGGCTTCGGTGCATCTCCGCCCCCGAGGGTAATGTTTTCCACTGTTGTTGTAGCATCATTGTCGCTGTTCCCGCTCTCTCTCCCGCTGTGAGCCACTGACCTGACCTCTTGGAGCCCGGTCATTTTACGGCCATGGACCGCCGTTTGCCGAGCATTCCGATTCCCACTTTTTAAGGTTCCCGAGGCACTTTCGCCGGATTGGGTTAGGGTTGTAGGTGTACATCCAGACCCGCTGGAAAAGGGGTATCAAAACAAACCCGAGTCGGACAAACCAACGTTGAGCCAAGAGGTGGCAGGGAAGACAAGAATCTGATTAAAATCAGGAACACTTATACACGTTTGGAAAAAATATCCGCGCATCTTTGATGCTTTCAAGGTTGTCATGTGAGAATTACAGCCTCAATGCCAGACGACGAAAGGGTTTAGGCTGCGTTTGTTTTCGTACAGTTTTCGTACAGCGCTTGGAATAACTCGACTTAGGTACTCACCCAACTAAACTCAATTGGAGACCCCCAAGGCGAGTTACAACTCAACTCGGGACAGCCAGTGAATTAGCCGCCTTTTTGAGTATAAAAAAGGTCGTATGAGGCCCTTTGTACGAAAACCGTACCAGAACAAACGCAGTCTTATGATCCTAACGCTGAATGAGACAAAAGTACTTGTATCACTCTACTTTGTCTTTATATGAGGAAAAGGAAGAGGATCTAGAGACAGGCGATATCGGCTTCAACCTCGACAACTTCTCGATTGCCTTATTCAAAGAGGATAAAGTCAGTGTTTCACACAAGTCAAGCCTGTCACAGGGTTACCTGTAGATATTGCCTGTATAGAGTGGGCCCTTCACATACGAGTTTTGTCGGCAGACAGAACTTCGTCCTATCTTTTACTTTTCGTTCTTGGTACTCTAGGTTTGGCGGACCTAGTTATTGTACGCACCAGTCCTGTCATAACGCTGGATGCAAGCAAGGCAAATCTGAGTCAAGTTTGTAGTCAGACTTGAGTTGCCAACTTGTTTCGTTACTTGTGGTAAAATCTTGCCGCAAGAGAGAGAGTATCTCATCCGGTATTGGAAAGGGTTTTGTTTTGGTGGTTCTAGTCCAGATTATCTGCGCTCCGAACAAGTCAAGTAAACAAACCAAGTCGAATCTGGATAAAAACAAGTCACATCTGAGTGCGGGTTTTACAAGAAGTAAGCCAGGTATGGTGTCGGACTTGACTTAACCTGACTTGTGTGAAGCACTGGGGCTACGGTATCTGAAGGCTGATGAAGGCAAAGAAGGATACCTGTCGCACTCTACTGTATCCTAATACTAGGTACGGGAGGAAGGTTTGGACACACGTGGTACCGGTTCATTCTATCTCTGCCCGCTGCTTGATTGCCTTCTCTGAAAGAGGGTGAAGCCGTTTGTCTCGAGATAAGATGACAGAGGTTCCAGGCGACGACAATCGCCCTCCCCCGGCAGCCTCGCTCCTTCCCCAACCGACCGACCACCTTCCCGCACTTCACTGCACCGTCCCTTATAACCTTAGCTCCCGTGCCTCCTTCCAACACAAGACAAACCAAGTTACCCGACCACAAAAGTGTTCAGATGGCGTAGCGGTTTATCGTTCGGCCGCTACTGCCAAAACCTTGGAGGGACTGGGGACTCGCAAGACAAGGAGTTCGAACCACACACTGAGCACTTGTTCAGCGAGATTTTAGAAGTAGGATCTGAACCTTTTCAAAACATTAAACCCGTCCGTGTTGGCTTTCTGAGGGCTATTCCCTGGAAATGCGATATTCTTCGACCCTCGTGACTGTGGCAAGAGTAATACACAGCTCTTAGTGGCAACTCGAGGGAAATACAGGGAATAAAAAGCCCTCCTGGAGGTACCAGCAATTCCTCCAGTACCAGCAGATACCGTCTAAGTGTAGTAGTGTCATGACCGAACTGGGGGGAAGAATAGAGATCGCATGGTCGGGTAACTGGTTTGTCACCAATTTTTTTTTGCCCTTTTATGTTTTGGTGATTTTCGTATACCGGTAGAGGTACGAATGGTTCTGACGCTCAAGGCATTGTATGGTGGAGCGAATGCGACAGACAGGAAATCCCGCGATAGTAGTTTGAGCTTGGAGGATGATCAAGTCAAAGGGCGCGATACCTGGCACGGGGAAGGTCGCGCAGATTGGGCAGGAGAGAAGGCCAAGAAGCATGTGGGCTCTTTCCTTCACTCAAAAAACCCTACGTACAAGAAGGCAACAACAGTAAAGCCTTTCGTTAGTCGTGGGTCGGCTATCCAGGTAATGTCTAGGTAGCTCCCACCCTGATCCAACCTCTGCGATTCTCGCCCGCGAGAGAAACTTCCTCTGAACCAGCACCGCATCCACAATCACTCCGTCCCACTTCCTGTGCATCCTCAGAAGAATATTCATTTACCTAACCGCTCAATGCTTCAAGATGGATGACATTCCCTCCCCTGTTGTATCCGCCTCATGCTCCCCCGGGGGCTTGACGTATGCGGAGGTCATCAGGATCCGACGAAACCTAGATCGCAACACCGATACCATGTACGAAGACCTTCGCAAGAACGAGCTCGAAGCCTGGGAGCACCCTAGTCCGTTACTGTCTCACCCCTATCTCAGGCAGTTGCCTCCATTGCCCTCAACTCTCTCCCGGCGCGGTGCAGTGTCAGAAAACGATTCTCCCGCTGACGTGCCATACGCTGTGGGCGGTTTAGCAAGCGTGGCAGCTGTTCAACTTCTTAGATCCTGTCTGAGAAACACGCCCGAGTTCCACAAATCCCAAACGCCCACAAGCCTCAACAACCCAGACATCAACCTCTACCTCCTTCGACAACACGAAGCCGCACAGTCCGATATGTCCTCACGATTGGCAACCTGCGTGTGGACATCCAATAGCCTCCAGCCCCAGACATATACCACGGAGATTACGGTCTGGGATCCAAAGAGCACAGGGACTGACGGGGCTTTGAGTAGTCGTCCTGAAAGCTCCGAGAAACAGGAAGAACGACCATCTATCCGTCGCATAGTAACGCCCGACATCAGCTCAATACTGCGTCGTGGTTCAACCCCCAAGTCTCCCAAATCCCGAAGACGCATGCCATCTGATGCTTCTCGCAGCAATGGAACGGGGAGAAGAGCAACATTTGCCTTCAATAGCGGATGGCAGACGCAGGATGGTCTGGTTAAATGGAACGAAGGCGCCCCTGGCCGCGACAGTCCGGATAGCTCAAGGTCACCCGATGACGACCTCGGAGGACCATCCTCACCAGGCCAGACCCAAAACGACGACAGCCGCAAACAATCACTCGATATGTGCTCTTGTCCAGATCTGGGAAGGGAGAAGGACGACGAGGAAGCCGAACGTCCAGATCTACCACGCAGGCGAACAGATGGCCCCCAGGTTCACTGTCCGCACCACCATTTCAGAAACGTATTCCAACGCTCCCAATCCGTCTGCCCAGGCGAACTACAACTAGATACCCACCGGATCCAGGACCCACGAAGTCGGCGCCGCTTGAACCGCGAAGATGAGTTATTCTTGGACTCACGAACAGGCGCTGCGGGGCCACTCAACAACGCTTCGGCGCAAGAATACTCCCCAAAGCTGCTTGCCATCGCCGGCGTGATGATCGCAACCGGGGAGCTTGACCGACTCTCGCTGAGGAGTAGTCATAGTCACCGTCACTCTCTGTCTCAAGCTTCACAGGTCAGCATCAGCAGCTCGCAAGACTCGGAAGAGGAAGAGGAAGAGCTAGAGCTACCTCCTCTGCCGCCGATCAAAACTGGCGCAGGCAGACGGAAGACGCGCGCCATGTCCATGGTGGCGCCCCTTTCGAGCACGCCTTTCAGTTTTGTCATGCAGGCAGGAAAAAGCGGGCTCTCTTCCGCACCGACGAGGAGATCTTCGACGGGGAACCAGGTTTTGACTGGACACCGAGGAGCTCCCCTTCCGCCCGTGAATTCTCCCGCCCTACAACAAACAGGTGTGGGTGCAAGTGCTCGACCTGGCACAGGGACGCCTACAGCTCAAGCACCGTTTGGGTCATCATCATTTCGCGTGAAGAGACCGGCCCCACGCCGGTTGTCAGAACTCTGGAACGCTTCCTGGGATAATGATCAAGAGGATGATGAGGATGATTCGGGTCCTTCGGAAAAGCAGTCGAGTTCTCCCGGTCTATATGATTTGGATTCCCCCAGGTTCACCGGCGCTCGCGAAAATGACGTGAGCCCCGGGGGCGGAGCAAATGCAGAGACTCCCCGGCTTTCGTGGCCGCCAAACCTGAACCGCGTGGACCAGTCGCTCAGGGAACAGGGGGGATATTTTGGAGGAGGATTGAACGAGGAGGATATTAGTCCACAGGACGACGGGAGAAGCCCGGGGTGGAAGGAGACGGAGGAGAGAAGAAGCAGCAACCTCACTCTCCGAAATGATGGGGACCCGAGTGATGGGAACCCTTCGGACACGTCACCTTCTACCTGTGAATGCACGCATTGTGAGCACGCTGGGTATTTTGTCAAGGTTGCTGATGACGCGGCTGGCCATGATGAGCATAAGGTGGAATTGAACGAGGATGAAGTTGGAGGGGTGATGCAGCGGTCGGGGTCGAGTCAGACGATTATTCATACACCTACGAGGCATTCGAGCCAGGAGGCGGAAGATTGATTGATGGGGTGTTGGCTTAACTGTTGGTTAGTGAACTCTTGAGCTGGTTGTCTCTCGGAAAGCAGATTGTATGTTGATAACGGGGAATGGAGTTCTGGTAAGACAGGAAACGAGTACAATAGGTGGCGTCTGGATATCGGAGGCACGCACCTGGATAGTCTTTGTAGGCATCCCTATACCAACAATCACTAGTTCAACACCATCCTTCATCAACATCTTCACCATATCGTCGTTCAACCAGCAGGCCATACCAGTGAAACGACCCGACTTGACCAATGCTGGAAAACAAAATCTCCCTCTTGAATACCCAACAAACTCAGATTTAAACGCCTTATCCCATGCATATATACATACACCAACTACACACTATCTTTACATCGTCCTTGTTTTTCTTCTTCCCACCCCCGTCTTCCCGACTTTTATAGAAAGTCGACACCGGTTTGGATTGGATTGGATTGGCTTGGCTTGGACCGGATCGGACGAATCGGGATTGTTTCTACTGCTTGAAGTCGGTGTTGACGTCCATCTTGACGGCGCCCTGGGCCTCGAGCTCCTTTAGGCGAGCCCTCTTCTGGATGTCTTGGACGCGCCACTTCTTGAAGTATGTGACCTGTTGGTAGTGGGAATGAAAGGTTAGCTGGGGTGGTCTGATGTGGGGGTGTGTAGTGTGCGCTGCTGTCTTGTCTGAGATGCCTGTCCTTCCACTTCCGTTGGTGGGCTGGCTGGCTGACTGTTCCCATTTTGCTCGTGTTTGGTTGGGTGATCTTTTCTGGAGTCCTTTCTTTGCATCTGGGTGTTGATGGGCTCTGCTTGCTTGCTTGCTTGGTTGCTGGTCCCAGCTCCCTCCCCTCATGTTAAAAGACCTATCGATCCATCGGAAACCCCCTTCCTGATCATGCTTCCCCTCCGCAGTCTTCGCACTCTTCCTCTCCCTCTTCCTCCTCCGCCCCTCTCAAAACCTCCCATCCCATCCCATCCCGCCCCACCCTCCATCCCAAAAGTCCTTCCCAAAAGCAGCAGAAAAAGTCGAAAGTTACTACTCACCCACTGAGCAGCGCAATCCTTCTCAAACTCGGCGCTCTCGGCCTTGCATGCTTTCACGGCCGCCTTCTCGTCCTTGAGCGCGTCGATGATGTTGTTCCGGTCCAGGCAGGCAAAGTAGCCGTCGCGCGCAATCCAGCACTTTTGGCGCTCGGAGCGCGTGGGCGCAACGGTGCCGGCGCGCACCTCGGCCGCGCGCTTGTCGGCTTCGGATTGTTCGAAGAGGCCTAGGACCATTTTTGTTGTTGTGGTCGCTTCGTTTCGGGTTTTAGGTATACAGGCGGGCCTCGGAGGGTGAGCGGACGGGAAGGGGGCAGAGGAGGTTGGAGTTGTTGGTTAAGATGGGTTGTTAGGTTGGGAATTGGTGGAAACTTGGGATCGAATTCGCGAATGATTCCCGAGCCGAGCTGGGATGGAAGCTTATCGAGCTTGTCTTGTCCCGCTATCAGTACCGGGTAGGTAGGTCGTCAATTGGAGCTCCAGCTGGGGATTTGTTCTGCGGCAGGCAACTCAGCTGAGCTTCCAAGGTGGGCGGTCGAAAAGGTACGTACCTTTCTTCCCTCCCCCTACTAAACCCCGGACTTTGGTAATTTTGAATTCCACCCCATTGATAACCCTCACTGACCCTGTAATCTTGCGGCGGCGCCGCGGCGGACGCAGGGACCAGGGTCAGTCCCTGCCCGTGCGTGGAATGAATGGATGCGACACTGGGCTGTCAACTGCAGTGCTGTGCTGTGACATGATGGCTTTCCATGTCCGTTTGGTAGTCTGTCTGGTCGCAAACCTAAACTTTTACATATCATCTTTCTCAGCCTTGCCCATCCACGGTTTACCAGAGACATCGGGAGATACATACTTCTAGAACTTAGGGAAGAATCACTACGAGGAACCAAACAAGGATACAGTACCAACAAAAACTTACGGCCTAACGACAAGCTCGAATCACCAACGAACCGACGCATCCCGTCCTCACACCGAACGAGCAAGCTCCCTTCAAACACCACCCTCGAACTAGACAATCTCAAAGTTCCAATCCTCGACGACCAGACGACGAAATAGCTACCATACACACGAGAACCCCATCGTACACAACCAAACCAAAACAAACCGACGACCACAATGCCCCGCCGCCGCCGTCCCCCGCGCTCCGGCGCCCTAACCGAGCTTCCGCCCCTCAAGATCCTCAGCCAGATTGCCGCGCTACAAGCAATCTACTACGCGGCCGCCCTGGTTCTCATGTTCTTCACCGCGGCCGTGGCAGGGAACCCGTTCACGCTGGATTTGGTGTTCGGGTGGGAGGCGGTAAGGGGGGATAACACGCAGGGGTGGTTGAATGGGTTTATTTGGTGTTTGGTGGGTGGGTTGGTGTTGTAAGTGCTCTGTCTCCCTACCTTTCGTCCTTGATCTGTCTGTAGCAATGCACTGTCCCGACACTGCCCGCTCGTTTCTTCCATCCCATCTTCCCTCCTCCTTTTCATTCATCCTCCATCCACCAGCCCAGCCAGCCGTTTCAACACCTCGCTAACATAAAACCAAAAAGACCCCTCTCCCTAACAGCCATCGTCCAACGCTCCAAGCTCATCCTCGACTTCGCCCTCACCACGCACTTCATCCACCTCGTCGTCGTCACCCTCTACACCACGCCCGACCACACCTTACCTCGCCACACAGCCTGGTGGCTGACCATGGCCATTTCCTCCTTGGCTTCGTTCCTGCTTGGGTCGTGGGGGTGTCGATATAGGGAGCTTCAGCCTATTGCTTTTGGTGGACATGGCGGTAATACCACCACTTCCAACAATAATACGAACGGAGGAGAGGGAGGACTAGGAGGAGCAGGGGATGAAGAACAGGGCTTTATTACAGGTGGAAGAGGGGGAAGAACCAAGCGCGGCTCCCGCGGTGATCTGGGAGGGGATTACGAAATGGTCACCATGGCCGGCGGCAGCGGCAGCGGCGGCGTAAGCGGTGGCGCAAGCGGCGGCGCAAGTGGTAAAGGGCACGGTCATGGGAGATCACAAAGCACCACCGTTTCACAAGCCGGAGGGCTACTAGGAATGGGCCCATTACAAAAAGCCGACTAGAAGTCATCATGGTCACCATCAAGCATACTACGATCACTAAACCGCGCCGCCGTTCCTTATCCCATCAGAAGGCATCTCAAACTGACGATCGCTTTTGCGGTGGTGCTGTTTTTCTGGTTGATGAGTGGACTGGTGGCCTTTGGGGATGCTGGGTTTGATATCGAGGCGATCTTCTCCTTCTTTGTTGACATCTCCTTCGTCATCATCGTCATCGACTTGTTCGTTGTCTTTCGTCGTCTTCTTCGACGAAGAAGACGGGGACGGGGATGGGGACGACAGCGAGGGTTGTTGGACTTGGAACATGGAGGGGGGGAATTATATAATGAACGTGGAGAAGGAGGAGTAGGTTATGCTGATATTGCCTGGTCGGTGGTGCTGTTGGTCGTGATATACATTTTTTGGTATGTTTAGATCTCCTTCGGATGGACCTAGCATCGGGTTTTGGTTTTGGCGTTTTGGGTGTTCCGGCATTTGGTTTTTAGTTTCTTGGCTTTGGTGTTATTAATACGGGGAGAGATGGTTACCTTGGATGGGTGGATGGATAGATGGACGAACCACCCAGACATGAGATGAGTGAAAAGGTCTGACTGACGACAAGCGAAGTAATGGAGGGATGGATGGATAGACACGGACGGGACATAGCATAATTGCACAAATCCAATGCACATATACTACAATCTAACTGTCTCTCCCCACGGACAAGGGTGAATATACTTGGTATTGACATTTATAAATCTTGATGTCTGTCTGTCTGATTTTGCTTGGGAGAACAAATAGATATCCTCCTCACCTCTCCTTGTCTCTCTCTCTCCCCATCCTCCCTCCCTACCCAGCTAGCTATCTCAACCCCCTCACGCACTTCACTCCCTTCCTCTCCAGACACTGACTGACTCGATGATGAACAAAAGGAAAATAGTAGAATAAAAGTAACAGGGAAAGAAGAAAAATAAGGTAAGCAAAAAGGGGATAAGTAGAAGAAGAAAAGTTGACAAACAGGTCTAAAAGAATATTCAATGCTTTCCCTCCTTCCATCCATCCTCCCTCTCTTTGCTCTGGCTCCGATCGATGCTTCTCCCCCCCCCGAAAAAAAAAAAAAAAAGACAACGCCAAACAGTAAATATGGTGTGGTATCATGGCTTATAGTTGTTTCTTTGTTTTGTTGATATGTTGGTTTGTTGTGGTTTTTGGTGGTGTTGGTTTCGTTCTTGTCGTTGTTGCTTTGCCTCCTCCTCCCTTCTTTTTTTCTTGCCGCTGCCAACCAATGAAGTGCACTCAAACAGTCAACCGGGGAGCGGGAAGGAAGGATACACAGGATAGGGAGGCAGGGAGACCGAGCGAGATTTGATAGAAAAGAGATTTTGTTGCGAAGTTTAAAAGGAAAATGTTGGATTAGGTCTTCTTCGTCTTCCGTATCATCTTCTTTTCATACTCGGCTCTGTGCTAACCCCCTTCTCCTTGTCCTTCCTTATCTTCCCCGTCCGTTGTTTTGCCTGCCCTGCCTCCTCTTCAACATAAAAAGTAAGAAAAGGAAAAATAACCCGCCTAAGAAGCGCTGCTATTCACACTCGCTGAAGGGTATCGAGTAACACACGCTCTCTCGCCGTCCGTCAACTGTAGTAATCAACCATTGGGGCACTTCTTCCTCCGTCTACAACCTCCTGCAGGAACCTCTGTCTCGCCGCCTCCCACTTCTGTCGCGCACATTTCGTCGGTGACTCCTAGGAACCCGGCGAACCATCCATCTCCATCTCCAGCTCCAGCGCCGACGTCGTGCTCTTCGTCTCCGTCATAGTGTTGTCGTCCTATGACACGCCTTGGGGCCGAGTCTGTGCATCGCCGAAGGGGAGCGGGGGCAGGGCCTTATCCAGGCTTTCCCGACCGATGATTCGGTGACCGCTCTTGTTGGATCTGAGCGAGGCGCTGGAGCTCTTCAGGTCGACGGATTTGCCGTTGCTGTTACCGTTCATGAGACCAATGCTATACCCGCTATCAGCGCCGTCCTTCAGGGACTGAGATGTTCCGTATCCATACCCTGTCTTAGGCGGTGTTGGTGGTGGTGGCCCATGGTCTCTGTAGTCGCGAGCATGACCCCTCAAGAGCGGGTTGCCAAATCCCGCCTGTCTCTCTTCACCGTCCTTGACAGGGGTGGGAGGGCGGTACTCGCTTTCACCAGCCAGGTTGCTGACCCGGCTGTTGCGGACATGTTGCTCGGTGGATGACCGACCCTCTGCAGCCTCCTCCACCACCGGTAAAATGCTGGCCTGGCTAGCGATGTTGTCCCTGCGCTCGATGCTGCCAGGGGAGAGCGTCGTCCGGAGCGTCTTGGTCGGTACGTCCTCTTCTGACACGCCAGTCTTGTACGCCTCACGCTCCGCCCTTTGTACCGTTGCCTCGGCTTCTGGTGACTGGACACCGGAGGGTAGAGGCGGTGGTTGGTCGGCCAAGGCTGCCTCTGCTTGCATCTGTGCGTCTCTCTCCTGAGCTTCGCGAATCGCTTCCTCGCAAGACATGGTGATGCCGGAGATAAAGTTGATAAATCGCTCGCCGTACTCGTGAGGGGGTAGGGCGGAAATCTGATTACGATCACCCGACAAGCCCTTCCAGAAGTGTTCCATTTTCTTGATGATTCCGTACTAGAATTCACGTTAGCACTTGTCAGAAGCATACAGACCAGATAGACATGAACCTACGTGTGTCAAGCAGTCAATCACTCCGAGGTAGTAGATCTCATCCGCCGGGGTGTTGTCCTCATGGGTTGCACGGAACCCTCCGTCATCCTGGTTGAAAACAAAGCCTATGCGGCTCTGGTTGTGCTCAAGTTCGTCGGGCATCCGGTTGCTCGTCTCTCCCATAGGAACTGGCCTCTCGGACTTGACCATCTGCCGCAGTTCCCTAGCCTTCCGCGCATTCTCCAACTTAGATGGGGTCCGCATCAAGACGGAGCTAGGGTCTTCGCGTGAGTTGTCACCGCCAGGGTTGAAGATTCGCAGGGTCTTGTCCCGCAGATTCTCCTCGTTTCCTCGCTGGAGATCATGGATACCAACGAGCAGAGAGTAATCCATTATCTGTAGCTTCTGAAGCAACCGAATATCCTTTTGGAGCTGCTCCAAGAACTTCTTCTTCTTCTGAAGCCCGAGTTCGAGATGTCGGTGTCGTCGAAGCCAGTTCAGGTCCTTTAATGTTGCCCTTGGATTCTTGTCGAGATCTTCCTCCCTGTAGTCGCGACCAATTGTTGAACCCTTCAAATCGAAGGTCTCGTGGATGTCCCGGTGCGGAGGGAAGAGGTTGTTCATGACGACGAAGTGAATCTTCTTGCCATACGGCATCTTGACCCGGTGCAGGCCGTAGAATTGCGAGAGAAGGGTGTTGGGGTTTTCGGTAACATGCTTGAAATAGTCCTTGAGGATCTTGCGAAGAAACTTATGCTCGGCGTGGTGAATGGTCTTGATGATGTACTTGTAGTCTCGAGAAAAGTAAAAGAAACTGCCGCTCTTGCCAGGAGAACCAAGTTCGGATAGTATATACTTGCCCGTCAGTGACATGAGATAATCTGCTGGATCCAGGCCGAAGCGTGTGCGGAGATGTCGGAAAACCCAAGGCGCATAGTCCTTAAACTTGAAGTCATACTTGGCGGAGGGAACCAGCTCGTTCCCGGCACTTCTAAGAGGTTAGATACCAGATCGTGTGAGAGGAAGTATCATGAAATGCTTACATGTCAAAGGTGGATTTTTGCTTTGCCTCAAAGTCAGCGTCCGTCAGCGGGCGGTCAAGCTTGGCATTCGTTCGCGATACCGAGACTCGGATGCCGGTCAGCATGTTGTAGGCTGTGACCCAATTGGCATGTTTCTCGTCGACCTTGGTGCCAACCAAAACCCGGTCGTCGTCTTCGGCATCTTTCCTCCTCCTCTTGCTGGCCCGTTTCTCCCTGTAGACTTCGGCCCATCGCAATGCGTCGTCATCGGGCACAACTTCGTCGCGAGGCATTTCCGAGTGGAGAGATTGTGTGTTTCTTCTAGCAATATTCAGTGACGCCCTACGTACGCCAGCAACGCCAGTTGGTGAGAAGCGACCGGTCGCGTGAGCAGCATCGAAGCCGTCCTTGGATCCACGAGGAGCCGAAGGTTTAGGAACTTCGAGGGTATGGCGATGTTTAATACCGGGACCGGGTGGCGGTGCGAGGGCACTGGTGGAGGCTGAGATGGGTGCTGCAGGGTTGTACAAGGGCGGCGACGAGTAACGATGCGGTGAAGGAGGGCTGTTAGGTGCCAAATCGCGCTGCTGAGCTGGTGGTGATGATGGAAAGTATCCATTGGGAGTCTGGTGGGCGGGAGGCGTGGGCGTCCCATTCTCGACGGTGCGAACGTCTCCCCTGTTGACAGGACGCAAGGGCATCTCCGTCGGTGGAGTTTGAATTGAAACACTGTTGGCAGAGCCCAGGGAGGCCCGCGAGAAGGCACCCTTTTGGTCGTTTGTCGTTTGACCGTCCGGAGTTGGACGAGCCGAGTTCGACGACGGGATTGTCCGGTCCGGAATGGCGATGGGAAACCTGCCGTTTGGGTGCGGCTTCCCGCTTTTCGTGACTTGATGCCCGCCCAGCCTGGCGCTCCCGTCGACCCCGTTCAAGTTCATCCCATGTAGTTTCCCATTAATCCCGTCCACATCGCCATCGAGACCTCCATTTGGCGAAGAGGTCATGTTGGAATGTCGTCGCAGACTGTCCCCATTCAACCGTGTCGTGATGTCCGAATCGTCTACTGTAGAAGTGTGTGTCGATTGGCTTGAACCCTCGTCGTCGAAGCTCTCGATTGACGTGTGAGAATGGGAGTGACGAGGAAGCGGGTGTTCATCGACCTTGCCGTTGGGTTGCCCGTATTGGCCGGCAGGGTTGAGGTGTACGACGGCGGGGGAACGCTGGTAGATTGGCGAGTTGTGGTCGGGTGCGAAGGAGGGCATCTCGGGTGGATAATGGCACCCGGAAACTGGGCAGCTAATGGCTACTCGGTGAGCAATGTTTCGGTATTATTTTTGTCGGCTGGCGGTAGCGGCGCACATGCTTCGACGGCGAGAGAGAGGTCAACGATGCCAACTGCCAACTGCGTGTCACCGACAGAGATTGATTGTTGATTGTTGACCAAGTCGGTTAAGGGGTTTCCGAGATTGGCGCTGTTCGCGGTCGGGCCCGTTCGGGATCGAGAAAGGGGGTCGAACTAAGATGATGGATATGGCAGATAGGGAAGGAAGCGAGACAGGAAATGACGAGAAACGGCGGAGACAATTGCGTCGGGTTGGAATCGAGTGGTTGTTGGTGTTGTGTGTGCAGCTCGGCTGCCCCGACGTTGAAGCGGGTGGTGGTGGTAAGAGGATTGGAGGTTGGGAGGATTGGTTGGCTGTGTGGTTGTTGCTGGCTGGCGGACTGTCTGGGGCTGGGTGCGTGCTGTGCTGCTGACAGTGACGACCAGCAGCGACGGCCTAGGGGAAGTCGGAGAACCAGGGCAGGGCAACCGAACTGAATGCTTGGCCTTGGCACTACGCACTCCGGACTTAGTGTATCAACGGAAAGCGAGAAGCGACAAGGGTCGGCTTGGCCTGACTAGTAAAAGGTAATGGGACGGCTCAAAGATGATGATATCAAAGTCGTGTTATTGTAGTATCGTTAGGTCCGTCGTTTGGTCGTTTCGTTCAATAGCGTGTAGTGAGTGCCGTGGGTGAGCAAGTGTGTACTTCAGGTCGGCGTACAGCGGCAGTGAGTGCGACCAGAGCAGAAACTAGTGGAACGGAATGTCGCGCAGGCGGCAGTGACAAAAAGGCGGACACACGGGTCAGAGAGTAAGAGCGATGTGGACCTGCAAGGAAGATGGATTCCGCGGGAGAAAGAAAGATGAAAAAGAGACAGAGAAAATGAACGTTTCCAATCGGAGGACCCTTGATTTCGGCACGATAGTGATGAGTGGGAACAGACCGACGAAGGGATTCCCCGGTGGTGTTGTTGTCGCCGTTCCGTTGTTGCTGCTGTTGCCAGAAAACAGGAAGGCCGACAGGAACACAGCGGTTTGGGGGCACACCAAAAGAACACAGCTGACTGCAACAGCGAGGCGACACAGCAACTGGACCTGGAACAGGCGGAGACACCTGTGGACTGAGGCTGCAGTCCAGAGTGGACTTGCAAGCGAGGAACGATGCAAGAACGGTCCACGGATCCACGGCAACATGGCTAGCCTCCTGCAGCCAGTGACAGCTCGCCCAGGGGAACAAGGCCAAGACATCCCAAGAAAACTCCAAGCCACTGCCACCGAATGCCGCGAGCGAGCATGAAAGGCCAGGGGAGAGCGTCGGGGATTTCGAGGCACAGCACCAACAAATGATTGCTGAACAATTGAAACGGTGGAGACCAAGTGGAAATATAGCTTGGCGCTCTCCTGGGGGATCTCCTTCCACAGTGGTAGCTAAACTCCAAGAAGCAATTATTTTTAGACTTTTGCACAAATTATACGAGCTTTGTTTTACTTTTGCTGCATTACTTTCCAGAGGATCCACGGTTTTGATATCGAATCCTTTTTGTTTCAGCTTTCATCCTTCTCCTCCAGGTCAATCGACCTCCATCACCACCCGAACGGCAAAACCCGTGAGAACATGATCTTGAAAGTCTCGAACACACAAAACACACGACCACAAAACCCACCTCGGCTATGTACTCATCTCAGACAGCAAAAAACTCTGACCGAAGATCCCATTTCCTATTTCCCGTCCCGACAAAGAAGTCGCCATCGGAACCCCTATCCAGACTGGATACCTACCCTTTTAGTTGCTGTCGTCCCCAACAACAGCAACCCAAGACTTTGAACGAGATTCAACCAGATGCCAAATCTCAATTCTTGACTGCGACAATGATCGTCAATCGCTTCACTTTGGTGCACAACCCGTGGTCCCTTGCAGTCTCAGACTCCCAGTCTCCCACAAGTCACAAGTCGCATCGCAACGAGTCCGCGCAAAGCCACGTTCCCACCCGCTGCCCCCACATCTCATTTAAAGCGCTGCCAGGTGAGCGGCGGAGACGGGCTGAACGGGGACCGGGATTGGGACTTGGGACTTGGGACATGTTACGGGCGCTACTCCTCGGATTTCCATTCATTCATTCATTCATTCATTCATTCACCGTCATGCCCTTGTCAACTGTGTGAATAAACTCACGACGAAGGGATTTCTTGTGTCATGCCTGCAAGGCCAGGTTTGGGTGCAACAATCTTCTGGGGAAGATGACGGAACTGACGATATTAACAACTTCTAAGTACAGCGGTGGCGGCCTCTCGCTTAGTTTGATGATCGATGATAAGATAAGGAGGGTATGATGTCGTTTTACATTCCATTCCACTTCCACTTCTGGCAGGCTTGTTGTCGTTCAACCAGCTTCATGATACTACAGACGTCCTACACTTACAGGAACGACTGACAATCAATTGAACATCGGACGTCCAAAACAAGGAATGGACACGAAGGACAACGCAACAGAAACTCCATACAATCATAGTACCTACTGAACACTGACACAGAACCTCGCTGGGAATCGATTATATACCAACTCGATTGACCGGCGACCGACGAGGCCAGACAGCCAGACAAACAAGACACAGACATCTAAAACTTGCAACAACAGACCCCGCTTTCTAATCTTTCTGATCATAAAAAAGATCGAGGAATTCTGAAACGGTGGTACTATCCTCCTTGTTCTACCTTACTTGAAGATCGCAGACCGATAGTGTATAAGATGTTAGCTTGGTTTTTGCGGGTGGCAACTGAAAGAACCTTACTTTTTGCTACAAAAAATACCTGTTTTGTCGTCTGCCTTTCTGCTCCCTGTTTCTTGTAGGATCGCCGTACCAAGCTAACATTTCACATCCCGTCCATGCAGAGGTGTAGAATGACCAGTGTTTCAATGAAGTCAATCTTGCGTTCAGATTGTCCAGTCCCATTCAGAGCCCAGAAGTCTACCTCTACCTACTGTGAGACGGGATCATGTGATGCTGAACCCCTCCTCCCATCTCCCTCTCCTCCTATGAATATCAAAAACTTCAGGTCCATTGTATCACGAAAGGGGGAATTGATTGGCGGGGGTCATGAGGGGGCCGGGCAGCTTCCAGTCAGTCACGAGTGGAAGTGGAAGTTGGGGAAAGAACGAACATCACATCACAGTCCATCCATTCCACATGTTTGGGCAAGTACGATGGAACGGAACTTTGATCACGACATCGATCCATTTCCGGATGGATGGTCCAATTGCCTTCTGTCACGGTCCGTCTCCATTATCAAAGACAAACCCCGAAGGTCGTCGGTTGAAACAACTCACTGCCTGGTTCACTGTATCGGCCGTACCTATATCATCTCTGGTCTCACGTTCGCTCGAAGCACCGACCGATCCAATCTATGGCCATGGCAATACATTGCATCACAACCAGATTTCCGCTTTCATCATGGCACATCAAGAGCGAAGCAAGAAAAAGATATTGAAGATAAGAAGCGCTTCACAAAACGCCTCGTTCAATTCAGTGGTATAACCGCGAAACTCGCTAATCCCAGGAAGCCATGACCAGCCAGATACCCCTTATAAAATGCTTCAGACAGATATGATCCAGACCCAGAAAAGAAAAAGAAATGCTAACAAAATGCAATGCAAATCCTCATCCCTCATCTCTCATTCTCATGGCCGTCCATCCTTTATCCTTCACCTTTCCCTTCCCCATTTCCTTCCCCTAAACCAGTCCCTCAACTAACCTAAACCACCCTCCTCTCAGTAATCGCCTCACCAACCGGCTTCACACTCACGAAACCCCCATTGCCTCCACCAAGCTGATACACCTTCCTGCCTCTCAACCAAGTCTCCCTCACGCGTCCCTTAAACTGGTGTCCCTCCCACGGACTGCACTTATTCTTCCACTTCATATCACCCGCCTTCAACACCCACTCCTCCTCATCATCGAACACACAAACATCGCCGTCCATGCCAACCTTGAGCCCGCCCTTGCGGTGCGAGAGACCGACCTGCTTGGCCGTGGCCTGGCAGCACAGCCGGACGATGTCGACAACAGACAAAGGAGTGGCCCGCTTGGTGGCGGTGGTGTAGAGGATAGGCAGGCCAAGACCGACGGAGGAGATGCCGCCCCAGGCGGCGAAGAAGTCGCCTTGGCCCTGGGGGCCGGCGGCGGCGTCTTGCTGGACGTGGGACAGCTCGGCGGCGTGTTCGTGATTACCGCAGCAGTCGGTCTTGTCGTGCTTCTCCTCGGGGAGATCCTCGGGGAGGGTGACGTCGATGCCGGAGTCGTGGAAGCGGAGGCTGGGGCGGCGGAGCATGGCGCCGTTCTGTTCGTCGAATTCGGGCTGGACGGCCAAGTGGTCGGGAAGCAGCTTGAGCTCGGGGGTGCAGGGGCTGTGGTCGGACACAACGGTGCGGATGCAGCTGTCGTCACCGGCGGTCAGCTCGGCCCAGAGCTTGTCCTGGTTGGACTGCTCGCGGATGGGCGGGCAGCACTTGTGGCGGGTGTCGCCGTCCTCGATGTTGTCCGAGGCCAGGCCGAGGTAGTGGAAGCACGTCTCGGCGGTGATGTTGACGCCGCGGGCGCGGGCGTTGCGCAAGATTGGGATGGCCTCGGTCGCGGACAGGTGGACGATGTGCAGGTGCAGCTGTGGGGCGAGGTCGACCATGGAGAGGATCTCCTCGATGGCGTAGGTCTCGAAGGCGGGCGGGCGCGACTCGAGGAAGGTGGAGTAGCTGGTGAGCTCGCCCTTGGGGGCCAGGGGCGGGTCGGAGCGGGTGACGCCGTCGCCGACCGAGTCGGTGATGGGCGGGAGCATCTCGGCGTGGAACATGAGCGTTGTTGGTGTGTCCTTGAGGGTGGTCATGGCGAGGGCAATGTCGCTTGAGGAGACGGCGGGGAACTCCTCGACTCCGGACTCGATAAGGAATCCCTTGAAGCCACGGACACCGGCCTCGACGAGGGGAAGCAGCTGATCAGCGTTGCCGGGGATGACGCCGCCATAGAAGCCAACATCGACCCAGCATTGACCCTGAGCAGCAGCAAGTTTTACCCTGAAGCCTTCGAGTGTGGTGGTGGGAGGGATGGCGTTCAATGGCATGTCGATGACGGTGGTGACGCCGCCCGAGGCAGCCGCCCTCGTGCCAGTCGCGAAGCCTTCCCATTCTGTACGGCCGGGCTCGTTGAGGTGGACGTGGGCGTCTACGAGGCCAGGGAGTATGAGCTTGTTGCCGTAGTCCACATATGTGCTCGACGCAGGGAACGCTTCTTGGGGGAGGATGGCCGGGGCTACGAAGACGATCTTGCCGGTGGTGGAGGAGATGGCAACGGTGGCGGGTGTGAGGAGGAGCGAGTCGTCAGGCAGAGTGAGAACGGCCCTGTTGGAGACGAGCACCACAAGCGGCTCGGATGCCGCGTCCGGGAGGAAGGTTGATACCGTCATTGTTGCGCGTTATGTGTTGTAGGTGTGGTTTAGATGTGGCTTGGGAGCTCCCTCTGTGAAAAGCGGCAAGGCTGCTAGTTCTAGGAGAAGGAGAGGAAGCAAAAGTCAAAGGGAGAGTGAGAGTGTTCTCGTCTTTCCTCTTCTTGTTTGGTTTGTGGTAAAAAGCTCACGAGCTCACAACACAAATGTTCACCGGGATCCGGGGATAAGATGTATGATCACCAGGATGCGGGAGCTTATCTGTGTTCGGACTTTATCCTGTGGGGTGTGTGTGACGCCTGGAAGGGGTGTGCCGTGCCGGTGTAAGATGTTGGCTGATAAGAGGCGGGATACGATATGTGAGACGCCGTTTCGGTGAACAAGGAATAGAAGATCGAGTGAAGCTGATAAGAGACTTGATTGTTATATTTCAAACAAAGAAATAGGAAGTGTTCTGTAGGTACAGGATAGTAGGTGTAGAACAGAAGATGGGAAGAAAAAGAAGAAGAGGTGAGAACGGACGGATTCTCGAGATGGAAGCCATGCCCTTGATAAAGAAATCAGGGTAAACCCGAGAAATGGGATTCGATAGTAGTAGTATCCATCACGATGGAAAGCCCTTGCGCCGTTTGCCGCGAGGAGACTCCACCGCCCTACTGGGACTGCGTTGGCCCCGAGCTGTTTGGACCGATCGAGGCATCGTGAATATGTGGATATGTGGTCAAGGATCGTGAGGCTTCGTTCCGCGCTGTGTACGGTGGCCCATGTCGGTTTTCGTTTCACATCCCCAAAATCAAATGTTTGCCAGCTGCAACCACTAGAAACGCGCCCTGGCGCGTCAGATTAACAGCCACATCGCAAAGATAACCTTATAAGCGTATATACTGCAGCTATTAGATGTGACGGTGTAGAATTAATTGATTGAAGAGTATATATAATTGATTCGCTTAAAAGGTATAGAAGGTATTGGGGTAACTTAGATATACCTAGAAATTAGGTAATATTAGGTAATTAGAACGCTAACTTCTATATAGTATAATTAATACTACCCTTAAATTTAATATACCTCCTTACTTATAAACCTTCTAAATAGGGTAAAAGTAAAGCTATTTATAAAATTTCTCTTTTAGTACGTCAATTTCTCTAGCCAAATTATAAATATCTTTTAGAATATTATCCGGAATCTTTTTATTTATCCTTATCTTCTTACGAATTAATATATTTGTTATTCCTATTAATTCCTAGAATTTCTTATAATTTAATTATCCTAAAACCTTTATTGATTTATCGGCTAGTATTTTCTTCGTTTCTAAATATTTAATTTCAATCCTTCCTTCTATAATTCCTACCTTAATTAGTAACGATAAATATTGACATACTTCAACTTAGTTATTAATTTCGCTATTTTAATAATTGATATACGGATTATTTATATATTATTATAACCGATTATAAGTATATCCTTATCGAAGGGAATATTAATCTCCTTATATAGACATATAATAGCAATAGTTTCCTTAGTCGCGTTTAAAATTAATAACAATTCTACATTTATTACTAAGGTAAATACTATCTTTTATTTAATTACACTCTAATAAACCAAACTATTAAAATATTTAATTATAAATTTATACGAATTCTTTCGATTTAGAAGATCATTAGTATATGATGTATTTAAAGCAATTTCGAATTTTATTAATTTATTATAATAAAGGGAGAAATTAAAATAGTATTAAAAATAATATAAAACCTTATTAATAATTTTACGATATTGAAGACCGGGATTATAATTATAGTAAATTAATCGATTAGAGGCGTAAGTAATATTAGGCTGGGTAATTACGGCGGCGTATATTATAAAGCTAATAATAACTTAATATTCCCGGATTTTATTAAAAGAGGCTATATTATCGTAAAGTATAAACTCTTCGTTATTTATTAAAATAAAGGCAAAAGTATAAGGGTTTTTAATTAATTTGGTAATTTTATAAATATATTCCTATTAAGATAATTAAATATAATTTACTTTTCAGTTTTAAATAATTTTAATATTTAAAAATTATTAAAGGTTATTACTATTAATAAATTTATATTTCTTCTTTAATTTCTTCGTAACCTAAGTAATTTTATCGTACTATAATTTATTAAAAGCGAAAATAATATCGTTGATATAATAGAAAATTAGGATTCTATTACATTTGAAAATATGCGGGTCTTCAAATAACGATTTAAACCCTAGGCTTTCGAAAGTCCTATTAAATTCTCGTTATTATAATAAAGGAATTCGTTAGAAATTATAGAGGGCTTTAAGGATTTTAAGAATAATATTATACTTTTAATAATCAGGAGGTATACGTATATAAATTTCTTTATCGAAGTAAATATTAACGAAAGTATTTATTATATTATATTAAATAAGTTCGAAATCGAATTTAGTAACGTAAGTAATAATTAACCGAAATAAATAACTAATTAATATTGAGGTATACGTTTCCTTACCGTAATTATATTATTAATTTCCTTTAATTACAAAGCGAACTTTTACTTTTAATAACCGACTATACGTGTTAACTGTATATATATATATATATATTTATATATAATCGAAGATTTAAAAACCTTTAGTACAAGGAACGTTTTTATCGATTTTAATCTATAATTTTATTTCTCTATAACTATCGAAATATACTTCCTCTATTTATTTAATAAGATTACCCAAATCGTAATATTTAAAATCGTAATAGATTTTTAAGATTGGAAGGAAGTTTTAACGTTTAATAGAGTCCAATCTACTACCCCTAGAAATTAAATAGTTAATTTCTACTTTTATAACTATTTTATTCTACTACTACTTAACTATTACGCGAAGACGTACTTCACAAGTAATGTTAATAGAGAATGAGAGAGTAAGTAACTGGTTGTTGGATAGAGTAATAGTACGTAACGATTGGCGATAGTCTTATTAAAGGAAGCGAAGATAATAACTATTGAAAGCCTTAACCTAGAACCTTATATACGATTTTACAAAGCGTAAACAAAATAAATAATAGGTTGTAAAGTAATAATTAATTAATTTATTCATTTTAATAGAGACTGACGGGGTAAGCACTCTTATATACCGTGATATAATTAAATAAATATACCTATGCCTAATTCAATATATATTATAATAGGGTAGAAATATCTAAGTACTACTTAGAATATCTCGTAATAACTCCCCTTCTAAAGATGGAGAAAAGTACTGACTATTTATTAATAAGAGCGCTAAATATAAATAGACTATCAAGATTATCATTATCCTTTTCAATATTATTTATTTTTTTAATATCTATCCTAGTAAACTTAATTATTATAAGTATTAAATCTAATATTTAACCGTATTTATATCCTTTGCAGAAAAATATTATATATTTATTAGAATTATTATTATAATATTTAATTTTCGTAATTAAAATCTCTAAGAGTATTATATAATAATTATATTATCCGCTGTTAATAGGCATTGTAATCCTCTTCGAGTTCGCGACGGTTCTTATTAAAATATAAAAAGTATTACTCTTACAACGAGAGCGTTTAAGATTAATAGAAGGGGCATTTTCCTTAATCCGTTAAATTTCCGGTATTTGATAATAAAGCGAACGGATTTTAAGTAAAGTATTAAAGCGGGAGGTAGATTAAGCGGATATTATATTAGATTGAGCAATATGTCATAATATGCTGGAGCGAATAGAGTAAACTAATATAAAAATCAGTAATACGTTTAATTAAAGGCTACGGAAAGTAGAAGTCTAATACTAAACGCGTTGAATTCGTATCTTCTTCATTTTTTATTTATTTTAAATATTTTATTACGTAGTTCCTCTATTACGGTTAATTAATAGTAGTTAGAATTAGTTAAATTATTCTATAAGAAAAATAAAGTCTACTTAAATTTAGTAAGAATATTAATATAGTTAGCGGATTTAACAGGAGTATTAATAACAGTATTAATAATACGTTTATTTTTAGTTATATTAATTTACGCGCGGTATAAATATTCTAAATGCGTTAAGAGACTATTAATCTATTTATTGAGACTACTCTTATAATTATAATATTAGAGGGCAAGTAGTTAAGCGCGGGAAGGGATATAATTGTCGAATATAGGGTTATTATCATTGCGTAATTTAATGGCTTTTTCTAAGGTTATTTTCATATTATAGTATAATACGGTCTAAGAGAAAGTTTATAGGTTAGTAAAATTATTTTCGTATTTCTTAATTTTATTATAATAATCTTAAATGATCATATTAATTTCATTACGTAATTTTTAGAAATTTATATCTACTCTAAAATTGAATATTTTATAATCCTTATTAAATATAAGAATTACTGTATTTCTAATTGGGTAGACTTTACCGACCGAATTCTCTTTAGTAATCTTTCCCGTACGAGCGCGAATTTTAATAGCGTTAACGAAGGGCTTACGCGGATTTTTACAAGCTAGGGAAGGTTTAACATTTATAATATTAATTAAGATTATAGGATTACGGAAAGTATTAGTTTTATGCTTAATAAGGTAGCCGAATTAATATTATTCTTACGTATTATAGAATTCAAAGTCGTTAAAGTTAATTATACGACTAATAGAATAAATAGGTTGTATAGGAAGATTAATATTATTATTAAAATGGTCGCTAATAATATGCATAATTAATAGGACTTTATTATATTAAAATTATGAAAAAATTATACCTTTATAAGTATAAGAGATTATATCGATTTGGATAAAAATGAACTATATAAAAGAATTATATATTATAGTATAAGAATTATTATGATTATCGGTAAAATAGTCCTACTAAGTACCGAATCCATTATAAAGGATAATATTATTGAATTTTAGGGACGTAAAGATTATTATAGTATAATAATTAGAGTTACTAATAATATATAAGATCGTTTAATTTAAATTGATTTGGATGCTAATACGTTTAATAATATTATAAAGAACGGAAACGAAGCGATTATTATAGTATACGAATAAATATTAAATTATTATAGGAAATACTTAATAATAGGTAACTTCTTTACTAATTTTAAAATTTTTAATTATAATATTATTAAGGGCGTAAATTTTATTACGCGAAGGAAGACGGGTATAAGGATTTAAGTCATTTAAAACGATATTTATATTATTAATATGGTTAATTATATATTAAAAGCGAATATAATTAAAGAAG